CCTTGGTCATATGACCTGATCACCTGACTAGGCTGAGTAAGCAAGATGTTCTAGCAGGTTCCACCACAGAGGTATAAATATAAGGCCTACTCTGTCTGGGGACTGTCTCTTCAGACTTGGTCTCTTAGGATCATCCACAGGTACCTATACTGTAGATATGTCTTAGTCATCAGGTCTACTCCACTTCCTTGTTGCCTGCTTGGACTCTTGGCACTCCCAGGTGAGCAGACTTAGTCAGCCTGTGTTGCCCTAACACTCGGTCTCAATCTTGAGTGCACTGATGATCGCGGCCCATCCCTCCCATACTCTTGCCATGACTGTCTTGATGGGACCCATGGTAGGCATGGGGGGTTGGCAGAACCCCCTCCCACTACCTCCTGGGAATCTTGTTTCCACTCCCATCTTGATTTGTTTCTCAATGCTTCGCACAACCATGCCTGCCAATGGCCCCAACCCCTCCCCTGGCCCTTGCCAGCCAATCTGTGGTCTGACTGCAGGCGCTTGGAACACTATCCGGCAGTGCATCTCTGAGGCTCCTTGCACTATCACTGGTGCAACTCACAATGGTTATGACCTCCCGGGCCATGATGTCCACCTGTGGCAAGTGGGCATCAATGGATGCCTCTGCAGGATCACATGGTATGGGGAGTTCACCCCTCAAGTTCTCGATCTGGTGAGTACTTATCTTACTAGATGTTTAGTACCAGTCACTAACTACTAATGAAGCTTACAATGGGTGATTGTGTTCTCAGTGGAAGTGTGCAGCTTTGGCTAGGAGGGCATTATGACAATGGGCTGAGCAATGCAACTGAGCTCGAGTCCTTTGTCTCTTGCCTCCTGTGGAACACCGGGTATATGCCCATCGTCAAGGGCATCACCCACATGTTCCACCAAGTTGTCCTTGCCAACTTCTCGCATGACATGACCTCGTTCTGTGGGCAGCAGAATGACAACTCTTGCAGGGCTCACACCGCTCACATGTCTCTCGTTTGTTTCAATCCTTGTCAGTTCTGGCCTGAGCAGAACCTGATCCTTGATGCCCCCAGTTCTACTACCAGTCAGCAGCCTGTCCCTATCGCCCCTGTCCTGACACCTTTGCAACCCATGAGCACTGCTTGGCCTAGCAGTGCGATGGCCCCTCCTGCAACTCAGAGGGCGGTATCAATCCCTTGCCCCAAGACTCCCATGCCCTCCAGTAACATGTCGAAGGGCAAGGAAAGGTCATCCTCCTGGGCCATGCACCACACTAGTAGCAGTGAGATGCTCACCTTGCACTCATCATCTAGGCCCCCCCTTCTCTGTTCCATTGCTCACTCCTCTCTTGACCGGATATGCCTGGTTCTTCACCCTCTTGTTCTCAATCCATGTCACTGGCATATTGTCTTGCAAGTTAAGGTGCTTGCATTCTGTACAGTCATATGGGTTCTGACCCCCCCTCCTTGCCCCATGTGGTTCACAAGATCCTGGTGACTTGGGCCATGCAACTCAACCTAGAAAGCGAGTTTGTCATTGAGAATGTCTAGCTGCTGACCAATGCAGTTGCCTTGGACAGCATCAGCCCCACCACTTGTCACATGGTCTCCAAGGTGTTTGTCACCTGGGTCGAGGACATCATTCACGCCATGCAGCAAGAAAGATTGAATGATTACTGGGAAGGTCATGCATAAGGCTCTCAATCTTGACTCAAGGTAGGTAGGGGGTCACAAACTTTGGCACTGGCATACATAATATCATGGAATGGAAGACTTATGGCCCACACACACATCTCAGTTTTTTCTTCTTCTCATTCTCAATTGTCCCAAAAGGCAAAAAGCCTTGTGGGTCTCAAAATGCTCAGTATGGACTAAAACACACATGGCATGCCTCACTCTCATTGCTTCCTCACACTCTCCCTCTTGTTTCTTACCCTTGTTTGTGATGTTTGCTTCTTGTCCTTGTACCTGGTCAAGTACTCATGTATTTGTTACTAGCATAGGAGAACCTGTACCTAGATGTAAGCAACCTGACAATAGAATTCCTTGAGTCACATTTCTCATGTGTGTTGTGTACATGTGACTGGCCCTCCTGACATCTCATTTTGTTGTGCTTGTCCCTGGACTTCACCATGTCTCGCAATCCTGGTTACTCTCAGTCTCACAAACTTTGACCTTCCTCATTGTCTGCTCATCTGCTTCCTAAATGCCATGCACCTCAGAGAAGGCAAAGTCTTGGGGCCATTGTTTAGCAGTGGCTGAAAGCACTCATGACAAGCACGCTCATGTTTGCAATGCTATTGCAGACATTCGATCTGAAGTCAGGACAAGGCTAGATAGTCTTGCTGATGAATTCACCATGAAATGAGAGGTGATCCAAGGCTATTTTTATGGCCAAGGTCTGAAGTGCAAACACAAAGATGTCTTGATGTGGAACACAGCTAGACATGAGGTGGCCTTAGAGTGGAAGGCAGCTGGTGAGTTCTTTCCCCTCACTCGATGCTTGCTCTTACTGTGAATATAGGCTGCAGGTTTTGTGCAATTGGTGATTCTGAGTTCAACAAGGAAGTCAAGATGCATGTGTCCTCTTACAAGCAAGATGAGATCAAGCTTGCTGAGGCGCTCCAATCTGTCATAGTAGCAAGACACAAGACTGACAACCAAGTTCAACTACTGTTGAAGTCAAGAGAGGCCAACACCATTCATATGCAAGATCACCTATGGTGCAAAGCTTGAGACTTCAATAACTGCATGGGTGGTCACATTTGCAGGTTCATTGTATGAGGACACCCAGATGATTATGCAGTACCTGAGTTCTTGGGCAGCACCATTTGCTGAGACTGGTTCAAACAAGTACTTGGTTTGTCAATCACAGACCTGGGCTTGGAATTAGAATCATGGGCATTCAGCAGAGGGCCGTGATGTGAGTGTTATCTATTCAAGAACCAAGTTAATTGTATTAATCAATTCCTAGATGCAGCAGAGATAACTCAGTCTCATGCAAATGTATACAAGCATGAAATACGGGCCATGCTTGATGCCAAGATCAGTATGTTTGAACTCTGTATGTCCAAATCTCAACACTCAACACTCCTTCAGCAGGAGCCACTAAGGGCAAGCATAAGTCAATGGCATACAAGTCATTCAGTGGTGACATGGAGGACAAGTTCCACTTGACCATACATGGCTGGCCACTAGACACTATCACAAATCCCTCGGATATCAAGAATGTGCCCCAGCTTGCCAAGGTCCATGAAGCACTCAAGGATGGCAAGTGCTTCTTCCACAAGATGACTGCGGCTGAGCTCCAGTGCTGAGTGACTAGAAGGCTCAAAGAGACCAAGAGCAAGGAGAATGTTGTTGGGCCACTGCCAACCACAAGAGACACTCACCCCATTGGAGAAGTCATGTCTTCCTGTGGCACGGACATTGACCTGTCTGGGGTGAAGCCTAACTTGGATCTATCACATGTGGTTGGTCCTCAACTGAGAAAGTGTGCATGGCTTGCCCCCCCTCCTGCAGGGACACAACCCAAGCCCACCACACCGGACCCAATGGTGTTCTTGCCTCAGCCTCTCCAGGCACTGGATGTCAACATGCTCAATGTTGATGCCAGCCTGTGGGATCTCAGTCAGTTGGGGGATTCTGGTCTCAGCTCAACTTGGAATGTCCATTGAGTTCTGGGGGGACCATAGAATCATAGATGCTCAGTCAATGTAACTAGTTAATCAAGGAAACTAGCTATCAAGTACAAAATCACCTTAGGTAGGACAGTGTCTACACTCTAGACTGCTGAGGCCAGCATCAGCAGCACCTCCGCCCCATCACCAAGTGCCCTCTCATCTGCAAGTTTCTGCTTGTACTTCTTCAAGCAATCGAGTGATTGTGCCTTTTGAGCTTTCAGGAGAGCATGCTTCTCAGTCTGGTAGCTGCGCTGGTATTCATGCAGCTGGGGAAGATGTCTACGTCAAATTAGCAGGCAAATCAAGCTCCAGGCAAGCAATCATGTACCGGTGAGCCCAATGCCTTTTCACTTCAGGCCTCATAGAATTTGGAATAACAGCATACGAGAAACCACAGGGGTGGACCTTGAACAAGGTGCTTCTAGTGAATATTGCACATTTGAGGGGGAGCGTAATGGTACTTGGGGCTGTCACTGGGCATGGTGTGTGTTAACAAGGATATTAGTGGGCTCTCACTTGCTTGGGTCTGGCTGTACATGTGGCCACGTGGGTCTAGCTACTCTAGCTAAATTTGTCCAATTTTTGCTGGATGGGCTGGATGCAGGGGTCCGAGGCCCTGGAGGCATTTCCGTGACGGGGCTGCACCGCACCCCCGTCACATGTCTGCTCCCGACAGGGCTCGACCTAGGTGTTAATTTGCCCATACCTTCCCTTCCACTACCAGACCTGACCGGCTTGGAGCACTGTGTAGCCGCGGTAATCCACTTTATGTATACGGCAGCAATTGCTGGTATGACGAAGATCTGTGTTACTGTGCGATGTTTTGATGTTGGCCGACTAGACCATGGATGAGACGGTACGTAACCCCCGAGGAGTGATTAATGCACTTAGTGATTTTCCCACAGTACTAGAATACAATCCTGAACACTCTGTTTGATGGTCATCACTTGAATGACTACTTCCTGTCTCTCTGTCAATATGATGTCCCTCCGGAATGTGCCAAATGTGCCGAGGAAGAGCCTCGGCTGGACTGTCTCCCTTGGTTGCCCAGTATCCATCGGTTGGGCTGCCCTCTGCCTTTTTAAATCGGTTGACCTCTGAAAAAGATTCCCTCAGTTTCTCCTTACGCTGATCTTCTCATCTTTTCTTCTGCAGCTCAACATGGCGACGACATCTGACAATGCTCAGCGAGTCAGTCTCGGCGCGTCGCTCAAGCAGCGGAGACCGAAAGCAACGACCATCCTTGATCGGTTCAAAGAGCGTGTGGAAAAGACAACGCTGAAGGTGCTCGGACTTGGTATGTACATATGTCACGTCTTCATCTGCAATCGATCAATACTTACGTCGACCACAGCTAGTTCCAACGAGAAGACCAGAGTTTCATGAGCCTATCGAAAAGCTCGGTTTGATCAATGAGCATGTTCTCCAGCGTACCTCCCACTATGGAAACGCGAATTCAACAAGCGCTAGGCTAATTGAAGCCCTTGCCAAGTATGTATAGTGCTCCCTATACTTAGGTCGTGTTCATTAACCGCACGATAGCGCAGCGAAAGATGTCGAAAACTTTATTCAAGTATCACGAGAACAGGATTATTCGAAAAAGTTTCTGACTGACGCTCCAGCCACCATGGCAAATTTACACAAGAATCTGGATTCTATTATTGCTCAATTTGCGGTATGTCTGTGCAGGTATACGTGAGGTATCACTGAACCGTATTCTAGCTCGTGCACAGCGTGACTCTTGCTACACGACTAGATCAGATGAGCTTGGATGTTTATGTTCAGTTCTCCCCTCGGGCATTCTTCATTGACATCTGTGCAAGCATGTTGGGTCTCGCGGGAATCAGATGTGAGCGCCCTTCAATATCCTTGATGGTTGCCCACCCCACGCGCTCTAGTCCTGTTACTACCATTATTGCCGACATTCCGCCAAATCCAGTCAACTTTTACGGTCGAGATGACTTGCTCCACTCAATCACAGCACTCCTCCTTCAAGACCAGACCTGTCGCGTCCCGATTCTCGGCTCCGCAGGAATCGGCAAGACATCTCTCGCTGCCGCCATTATCAATGACGATCGAATCAAGACCAAGTATGGCCAATCGATTTGGTTTGTCTCCTGCGAGGGTATTACGTCTGCCGATGGGATTCTTCAAGCATTAATCGCTTTCTTGGGGTTAACGCATGAGTCGAATGCCCGGCAGATCGTTCTCGAATCCTTGGCAGCGCGAATTTGTGCCCTCTTAGTGCTCGACAACCTGGAAACAGCTTGGGACTCTCCCGATAGGGTTTCCGTTGAGCTGTTGCTAGGGAAGCTTGCGGAACTCTTGGGTCTGTCCCTGATCATCACGATGAGGGGAAACGTCCAACCAGCCGGAGTGACGTGGGATGCAACCTATGGCCAACCCCTGACACCACTTTCCATTCCTGCAGCACATCAGATGTGGATTGGTATCACTCATCGAAATGAAGATGTTCCCGACGAGCTTCTTGCCGCATTAGACGGATTGCCTCTGGCAATTACTCTCATGGCACACCAAGGCCAGCTCTCAGATTCGACCGAACTGATGGAAGCATACACGGCTGAGAAAACCGCCTTCCTACAACGCGGTACTTCTGGAAGACTCACAAGCCTCGATACATCCATTCAATTGTCACTCAATTCCCACACTATGATGCAGAACCCGAACGCACTACACTTACTCTCCGGACTCTCTCTTCTCCCGAATGGCGCCTCTTATCAACTGCTGCCGAAGATCTTCCCATCGATGACGCAATGGAGGAAGACGGCCTTGGCTCTGATTGCGGTGGCACTTGCGTATAAGGATGGAGGACGTCTGCGGATACTCTCGCCAATTCGCGAGTTCATGCTTCTTCAACACCCGCCTTTTGGCACCTGCCTAGCCGAGCTGCGAGTCTACTACTTTGGCGTACTTGCTCCCTTCAACGGAATGGAGCCCGATGCCGATCCTTTCCAAAAAGCGACGGAACAAGTCTCCTCCGAATTTGCGAATATCAATTCGATTTTATCGCATTACTGGTCATCGATGCCCGGTGCAGATCAGCAGGATGAGTTCCTTGCCGCCACAAAGACCTTGGTTGTTTCCTCAGTGCATGTCTCATGCACCGATTGCGTGCCGCTGCTCTCCTCTGCTATCGAGCAGCTGGAGGCAAGGGAGCATCACGAGGAAGTGTTGAAATGTCGGATGCTCCTTGGCCGCCTCCTATCAGGACAGAATCAATTGGGAGAAGTCATAAGATTGCTTGAAGAAGTAGAAAGACAATTCGGGGCCAGGGGCGACAACGCTGAAGCAACAGAGTGCGCTTACCATTTGGGAAACGCACTTCGTTTGCGACGTGACTTCAAAGATGCCACTGCCAAGCTCAGAGAAGCCAACAAATGCAAAGAAGCAGAAGGGAATACCACCAGCGCAGCATTGTACATGTGGTGTCTTGGGGAGGTGCTAGCACAACAAAGCGATATCGAAGAAGCTCTGAGGATCCTCAGCACTGCAAATGCGATGTATCAAGAACTGAGATGCCGAAAGGGTTCTGCGCGTTGCCTGGCAAGCATGGCTAGCCTACTGATGGCTCAACGCAGTTGGAAGACAGCTGAGAGCTACTTGGAAGAAGCAAGGCCTATTTGAGCAGTTTGGCTCTAAGCGTGAAGCTGCGACTTGCCTGTTCCAAACGGCGCGACTTTTGCAACAGCAGAACCGTCATGGAGAAGCATGCCGCGCATTCATGGAATGCAGGAAGATGATCGCCAGCCTGGGATTCTATCGGAACGATTCCTATTGTACGAAAGACCCTCGTGACCATCTGCGATATGAAGAGCGGTTCGCAGAGGCGCTTTCGTGGTTAGACGAAGCACAAGCTACGTTTGAGCGCATTGGAGATAGGGTTAGTGCGGGGCAGTGTACCTATCGGCAAGGAATGCTGCTTTTATCCCATGATCAACACGAAGATGCCACTCCTTTGATAGAGACTGCGAAGACGACATTCGAAAACTGCCGGTCCCTCACAGGGGTAGCACAGTGCTGTCAAGCCTTGAGCAAGATCTTCGGTCAGCAGCAACGCTATGCGGATGCGAGCCTGCAGCTGGAACAAGCAAAAACTGCCTTTTAAACTATGGGGTTGATGAATGCGTACTGGTCATGTATTGTCTCCGAAGGGGAGCTGCTTTATCATCAGAACCGCCATACCGAGGCCGTCGCAAAGCTTTTGGAAGTACTAGGATCTGGCATCGACGCTCTGGATCTATTAGCAATGGCCAACTATTTCCTTGGTCGCTCATACGACAAGTTAGACGAGACAGAACGTGCTGCGCGAGCCTTTACCCAAGGTGCAGAAATTTATCGAAGGATGGGACTGCAGGACGATGTAGGACGTTGCGAAGAGGCATTGGCCGCGTTATCCATGCAGGAAGCTGAGGCTCAGAATATTAATGGCGGGTGGAACGAGTGGATGGACCGCATCTAGCGCACGTAAACATAATGTTCTGCGATTTATTGCACTCCTGATATGTTGTGCTGCGACATTTGTCAACTGTCTTTGTCGCATACCTACCGATACCCGCGAGTTTTTTTAATCGAATCCGCTGATGTCAACGAAAATGCGGAATGAATAATGGAGCGCATGGAGCCCACTGATGCAGTTCAAGAAGGATATGTCTCTGCAGTGCGCCGCACAGTAACGGATCCAGTAATATGGTTCCCAGTCAAGACGATCTATAACGAAAGACGTCTGCATCATCCCAAAAGTGGGGTGGTTGCCGGGATCAACGTCATAATCACGTCACACTTGAACCCTAACCCGAATGACGTCCCGCTGCTTCTCTTCCTCATCACAACTATCCAAATATGGTAATCCCATGGCCAATCGCAGGTATTGCGACAATGAACGGAGGGCTGTGTGGGGTAACCAACCAGTGGTATATATACCTCTTTAGGAAGCTGACAGTACTTCAGGATGAACATCCTCAAACAACCAACAACTTGACAACAATCAATCCTCAACAACAGCCATGAACGACACCATCCAGCGTCTGGACCTCCTCGACCCAGGTACGCCCGCAACCCAATGGGCTCAGAACACACAGTCCCTCATCTCGAGGGATCCCTCATCTCATGCAGCCAACTTCAGCGAGTCGACAGCCACGGGCACAGGCTCGGGGGTTGACCCTCAGATTGCGGCGCTTGTGAGCTCAGGAGAATATAGGTCTATCGGGAGGCCTGTGGGTGAGTCGGTGGACGAGGCGGCGGAACGGATCTCTCGCAGGCAGGGGGATGATGTTGTGGGTGATGCGGCGAGCGGGAAGGCGGCTGTTGATGTCCCTAGAGGCGGGATAGACATGGAGGTGGGGTCGGGTGCTACGAGAGAGGTGGGAGGGGATTACGCAATTCGTCAGGTCGCTGGTACTGGATTGGGAAACGGGACGACCAGTGGACAGGGTATCTCCTCCGGTACGTCTCCTCTACCCTGCCACGACCCACACTGACAGGAAACAGGTATGTCCGCCAGGACCCAGAAAGCGCTGCAAGATTCAGGAGCTACCGAGGACGTCCTGGTCATGCCTAAACGTGCTGGCCAAGGGGCCGGAGTTGACCCTTTGCACGAGGAGAGCAATGCCTCCGAACGAGGGGGGACGTATGGGGGGACGACTGCAGCTCTGGGCAATGACCCGTCTACCACCTCTGCTACCGCTGGCAACCCACTCTCCTGGTCCTCCAACATGGCCGCTCCCGCACCTGGGGCGAATCCCACCGTCGCCGAAACCGACGCTCTGCCATCAACGGCGTCCCTCATCGGGCCCGAGCCAAAACCTCAGCCTGCTCCGTTGGGGCATACTGGTGGACTCCCTTCCGCAGGGGTGGACACTCGTACGCCGGCGGGAGGGATCTCGAGTGAGATGAGTGGACGGACGAGAGCGGCGCTTGCCCAGCCTGGGGCGAGGACGAGTGAGGTACAGGATGTCCTGGGAGAGGAACCGAAAGCCGGTGCAGAGGCGAAGGTAGGACTGGGGAATAAGACGACGAAGGGAAACGGGGTTGGAAGTGTTGGGGTGACTTCGGGAAGGAAGGGCACGGAGCCCAGTGCGAGGACTCTAGCTGCGCTTGGGCAGCACTAGTCAACGACAACCAAAACGATCTGAAGAATCAAGCGCACGGGAATCGAATATGCATACGAACTGACAATTGAATCCAAATTCGATAGCCTAGTGGTCGTGTTTATATGATATTGAATAATCCAAGGCCCCAAAGCACTCAAGCCCAAGGGGGTTAGTGTTGCACACCATTCGGCATCCCCGGCCGGCTCTTGCCCTTCCCTTCTAGCACCTCGCACGCTCTGTTGATCTCCTCCCGTTCCTTCTCCCCCGGCGCTAAGACGGGCCTCCTGCTCCACCCACCATACCCCTTCACATGGCTCAGCGCTGCGCGTACTCCTCGTGTACCGGCGCGTTCTATAGCCCCACAGCGGGCTAGTGGGCGTTGGAGCGCTTGTGCCGCGGGCAGGTCCTCCCTATTCCAACTTTCCCAGATTTGGACAAGCGCTTCAGGCGCTACGTTCCCCAATGGCAGTATGGCCCCCTGGGCGCCAGCGCAGAGCATGGGCAGGAGAGCGTCGGACTGGGTCGCCATAGGGGAGAAGGACTTTGTGGGGAAGGTGGAGGAAAGTTGGAGTGCGAGACTGGGAGAAGTCAGGAGGAGGGAGACGATGTTTGGGTGCTGGGCTAGGCGCTGTAGGAGGGGGAGGGGGAGGGCGTGGGAGGGGGAGAGGAGGAGCGGGAGAGGGGATTGGTCTGCTACCTGAGGGAGTGTCAGTGGTGGTTAAGGAGTCAGACGTAGACCTACGTCAAAGAAGTACCCTTCGAGAGCCGAGTCCCCTAGCTCATCCTCCCCTCCCGGTGCGTTGACCAAACAGTATGCCCCTCCGAGTGCCGCTGCCTCCTCGCATAGGTCGATCGTCTCCCACGTGCTGGGTGCTGAGCAGCCGACGATGAGGGTGAGCTGAGCAGGAATGGAGGAGAGGAAATGCTGTGTGTGAGTGAGGAGGTGCGTGCGCTCGTCACGCGATAGATGGTGTGGTTCTCCTAGAGCGGTGTTAGTGCAGAAAAGGGAAGGATGTGCACGCACCTATTGGGTGGAGGAGGACGATTCCCTGTACTCGTGCTTGTGCGAGTCTGGCAATATGGGAAGTAAGTGCTTGGAGGTCTAATTCCTGCTTCTGTGTAGGTTGGAAGAATGTGAGCGTAGGTACGTATATTCCTATCATGGGTTATTGTCCATCCTTGTCAGTCCTTGTTAAAAGGATGTACAAAGGCCATACCTGGCGGGGGAGCAGAGGGAGGCATTGTTCATCTACCGAGGGAGGAGAGCGTGTTGGCAAGAGGCAGGCAAGCTATATAACCCTATCGAATCGGGGTATATCACAATGTCCTTCCCACGTGTGTACAGCATTTCTTTCCTTCTTACGTCTATGACATCTAGCGTATTCCTTCTTCCATTCACACTTGTTGGCAGACAGGATCCAAATTCGTGGCGTGCCGGCCCGCCTCCCCTTCGCCGCCCGTTTCACGCATTCCCCTCCTCATCCAGCAACCCAACCCCTGACATACGCACCACAACCCCACCCACTCGAGCCCGAAACCATCCCGAGGTGTACACAACTACTCTCGAAACTGCACGAAGATGTTCGGGTTTCGGCTGGTGCACGCACCGCACCCTCCCATCCCGGTCCGGATGTGAGAAAAGGATGTCAGTAATTCCCGGGCGCCGTCTATCCCCGCGGCCCGGGTTTGCAATTATTGTTATCAGACGTAGGATGCTATAGCTACACCGAGGAGGGGTACTGATGAAGCAATCCTTCCCTCCCCCACAAATTTGAAAATCACCGATCCCTTGACAAATCTGTCCTTCGCCCGATTGACGATGCAGTGGCTGTGCGCGCTCTTACTCTTCTCCCACGTGGCACACGGAGACAGAAAGTGGTCGCGTTACGCGTCCCCTCTTCCTACTCTGGAGGTTACGCAAGTGTAGTGCATACTCCTTGAGTGCATACCACCGCATACATCTGCTTTTCCCTGTTGTCTACTGAAAAATGTTCTTAACAAGATCAGAATATGGTGAGTCAGACGCTGCAGAGTTGAATATATCTAACGGTTTGAAGACCGGGGAGTCAACACTTTCTCACCAGAAGGGCGGTTGTTCCAAGGTGTGCACCGTTCTTTCCTCTCGAGTGAACAAACCCTGACGAGTCCCAGTCGAGTACGCAATAGAAGCCATCAAGGTATGTCTGCCATAGCCCTTTCCCCGGAAGATCTGACGTCCCCAGCTCGGGAGCACAACCGTCGGGATCCGCACACCCACCGGCGTAGTCCTCGGCGTCGAGAAACGCGTCCAGTCCCCTTTGCTCGAGTCCTCCAGTATCGAGAAGATAATGGAGATCGACACCCATCTTGGGTGTGCCATGTCCGGCCTTACGGCGGATGCGAGGACGATGATCGACCATGCGCGTGTGACGAGCCAGAATCACGCTTTTACGTTTGACGAGCGGATCAAGGTGGAGAGTGTGACACAGGCGGTGTGTGATTTGGCTCTGAGGTTCGGGGAGAGCATGGAGAATGAAGACGCGATGATGGTGCGTCCTTGTCATTGTATTTGACTGGTTAACTCACGCGCGGGTGCAGTCACGGCCATTCGGCGTTGCACTCCTTATTGCCGGAATTGACGAACTTGGCCCGCAGTTATACCACACCGACCCCTCGGGCACATTTGTCAAGTACGAAGCTAAGGCCATCGGTTCGGGTAGTGAGGCTGCACAAGCCGAGCTGCAAGACAAGTACCACAAGGTATTTCCCTCCAATTGCCTTCTTCACGGGCAGCGCTGACTGACTGCGCAGAGCATGAGCATGAAAGAAGCGCAGATCTTAACGCTGTGCGTGCTGAAGCAGGTCATGGAGGAGAAACTGGATCAGCATAACGTCCAGCTTGCGCAGGTTACACAGGAGAAGGGGTTCGAGATCCTTAGTGATGCTTTGCTGAAAGAGGCGATTGAGGGGATGTAGTGCTGGCTAGAAGAGGGTAATGAAATTCTGTTCTGTTCCTTTGGGTGCAAGTGGACACTGGGATGGTAAGGCAAGGCAGGTACGATCAAGACATGTCATTCTTAGTTCTTTCTTTGACTATACTGCAATCCCACCCTGGCCGTCTTATCCCCCGCACGACGTTCACGCCTTCAACGCCGCTACACACTCGATCTCGACCATCACGTCCCTCGGAAGGCGGGCAACCTGCACGGCCGTACGGGCAGGCTTGTGCTCGGCGAAGAACTCTCCGTACACATCGTTCATGTCGTTGAAGTCGTTCATATCCTTGAGGTAGACCTAGAGAGAGGTCAGCTCCACACTATAATGACAGGATAGGGAGGGAAGTTGGATGTCCGCAGTTGGGTATACAACAGCATTGTGGAGAGACGCACATTGCACTTCATGACCATATCGATCCCGCTCCCAGCTCCATCAAGCACCACTTTCAAGTTAGTCAAGCTCTCCCTAACCTGCTCCCTAATCCCGCCCTCGACGATATTTCCCGTCTTCCCGACTGTCGGGATCTGACCGGAGACGTAGAGGGTGCCGTTGAACGCTACTGCGTGAGAGTAGGGTGCGACGGGCGTGGGGGCCTCTGCAGGCAATGGAACGGGTTAGCGATGTTCGGAGGTGGAGGAGGAAGGGGACGAACCAGCAACGGTGATACGCTTTACAGACATTGGACGTGCTTGGATCGTTCGGATTGGGAGCGTACTACGGGCGAAGGTGGTTGGACGATGGCGGACAGCGAGCAGGGAGCGCGAGCCAAGTTGCTGGGCGGCACGCATTTTGGGCAGGGGGGAGATAGACGGAAGTACTCGGCAACATGCTGCTGGGCGTTTTACATATGGGCCCGACCTGGTGGAGGCGGTAATCAACGACTTCTCCACCTCATGCTACTCATCAACATACAGTATTACAAGCTTGTCTGTTACAAGATCATTGATGGAAAGGTGCAGCTAGTCCGTATCGCCCGCTACTATAGAGATGTGGGCCTCGAAGTGTCAAATTCAGGAATCAACGCCGCAAAGCTCAGCCAAAGCTTTTTCTGCCAACTCGCAATCAAGTCCAGTACCTCCAGATATTTCTATGACTCTAGTGAACGCCCTCTGGGCCTCTTCTTTCTGGCCTAGCTGGCTGTGCGCACGACGGAGGATGTAATTGCCAGTTGTCGCAAGGGACGTAAATTTGTCGACAAGCTCGAGGGTCGCTGACAGCTTCAGAATGACCTCCACGGAGCGGTCCTGAAGATAAAGCAACTCCCCTTCAATAACGGCACATTGGAAAATGCCCTGCTCGTCCCCGAGATCTTCAGAGAGCCTTCTTGACTGTTCCAGCAACCGGGTTGCTTCTTCGTGTTGTTCCTTCTTCCCGAAGATACGGGCCATCGTCCATAAACACTGTGACACACTGAGTGTCATGTTGCAGGTTTGGAATTTCGTCTTCGCCTGCTCTATTAGATTAAGAGCCTCGTCGTCGTTATCTTGTTGTTGCAACACATCTCCTCGTATTAGGAGGCATTGGGCTGCACTGGCCTCATCCATGGCACGCTGAAATGCCAATCCTGCCTCAGCAAGCTTCACATCGGCTTCAGGCAATCGACCTTGAATACGCAGGATGTCACCGAATCCCTTCATGCACTGCGCATCAATACGGTGAAAGTCCAGTCCTTGAATCATCCTTCTACACTCTGTCAGAGTTAGTTTGGCTTCGTCGCATCGGTTTTGAGATTTTTGAGCATTGGCAAGGTCGAGTAAACAATAAGCAACTTCCCGGTTGTTTCCAAAGGCAAGAAATATGGCTTTTGACTCTTCTAGATGCGTTTGCGCCTTCTCCCACTCTCCTTTCATGGCCAAAACGCTTGCAATGCTACGCAGAAACCATGCCGAACTCATGCGGTGGTTGGATGCCTGTGCTTGATATACGCTATGAGCCGCTTGGAATCTTTCCAATGCTTCATCTAAATAACCCTGTCGTCCATGATGATGGCAATGCTCAAATCACATTTTGCCGCACCAGGGCCATCACCAATCGACTTCAGTCCCGTGCTGGCCTCTCTAAGCTTGGCAATGGCAGCTGGGACATCACCTCTCAGACGAAGTGACTCGCCCAAAAAGTAAGCGCACTCCAGTGCTTCAACTTGGTGCCCTAGTGTCGCGAATTCCCGTTCAACTTCTTCCAGTAGTGCTCCAGATTCCGTCAATCGAAGTTGTCTTGACAGGAGCCGACCAATCAACAGTCTGCATTCCAAGGCTTCTCGGCGCCTCTCGCTCCTCTCCAAATGCACCATTGCATCCGTGAGCAGGGGCGAACAATCCGCACACGGAATATGCATGGATGAATAGGCCAGACTTTTTGTGGCCACAAATAGCTCGTCACGTTGATCATTGCGCATGGAGGACCAGTAGTCGGAGAGAATCGGATTAATATTCCCAAATTCGCAGGAAACTTGATCCACCGCTTTGGGAGAAGGATCGGCGTCGGGCTCCATGTCATTGAACGGCGTCAGCATGTCAATATAATAAGCTCGTAGCTCGGCACGCCAGCTGCCAAAAGGCGGGTGTTGAAGCAGCATGAACTCGCGAATTGGCGAGAGTATCCGCAGACGTCCTCCATCCTTGTACGCAAGTGCCACGGCGATCAGAGCCAACGCAGTCTTCCTCCAATGCGTCATTGATGGGAAGATCTTCGGCAACAATTGATAAAAAAACGCCATTCGGGAGAAGAGAGAGTCCGGAGAGTAAGTGTAGTGCGTTCGGGTTCTGCATCATAGTGTGGGAATTGAGTGACAATTGAATTGAGGTATCGAGGCTTGTGAGTCTTCCAGAAGTACCGCGTTGTAGGAAGGCGGTCTTCTCAGCCGTGTATGCTTCCATCAGCTCGGCGGGATCTAGGAGCTGTCCTTGATGTGCCATGAGAGTAATTGCCAGAGGTAGTCCGTCCAATGCAAGCAGGAGCTCGTCGGGGATCATGTCCTCTCGGCGCGTGATACCAATCCATGTCTGACGAGCGGCAGCCAAAGGAAGAGGTTGAAGAGGTTGGTCGCAAGTTGCTTCCCATGCAACTCCCGCTGGTCGGGCGTTTCCTCTCATGGTAATGATCAGAGACAGACCAAAGAGCTCGGCAAACTTTCCTAGGAGCTCCTCTACAGGGGTCTTGTCAGGAGTGTTCCAGGCCGTTTCGAGGTTATCCAGCACCACTAGAGCGCAAAATACGGGTTGCTAGGCGCTCGAGTACTGCACGCCGAGCATTCGACTCGTTTGTCAATCTCAAGCAAGCGCTTAACGCTTGAAGAATCCCCTCGGCAGAAGCGACACCCTCGCAAGAAACGAAACAAATCAACTGGCCGTACTTCGTCTTTATTTGCTCGTCATTGATTATGGCCGCAGCGAGGGATGTCTTGCCAATTCCTGCAGGGCCGAGAATGGGAATGCGACACGATTGGTTTCCAAGGAGAAGAGAAATAATTGAGTTAAGCATGTCATCTCGGCCATAGAAGTTTACTGGCTTGGGCGGAATGTCGGCGGTCACGGTTAGAGCAGGACTAGGGTGTTCACAGAATGAGTGATTACGTGTCAGGGAGGGGATAGATCGCGCACATCTGGTTCTGTTTTGTACGAACAACACCCTCCTTGTTCAATCATCAGTCATACACGTCCCCAGAAAACTCGGGTCACGTACTTCTGCCCTCATTTGATCTAATTTGGCAGCAAGACTCAGGCTGTGCACAAGCTGCAGCTTGTTCAGTACCAGACCGTTCAATACAGAGACAGAAACCCACCGCAAACTGCGCAACGATCGAATCGAGATTCTTGTGTAACTTTGCCATGGTTTCTGGAGCAGCCGTGAGAAATTTTGTGGAGTAATCCTGTCCTTCAACAACTTGAACAAAACTTTCGACCTCGTTCGCTGCCCTATAATACGATGATTGAGCGAAGTAATCCAGGTGTCCATTGAGCTGTACAAACTTGGTGAGAGATTCAGTTAGCCTAACCGTTGACGAATCCGCCGTTGGGCCTTGGGATATGCGCTGGAGGACTTGTTCATTGATTAAAGCTAGCTTCACGATCAGTTCTTGATACTCCGGTGTCCGCGTCGGAACGAGCTGCAATATAAGTCTAGGATGACGGCTGTACAAGACAATACGCACTTCCGAAAGGCCTAGTACTTTCAAGGTGGTATTTTCTACACGATCCTTGAGCGGATCCAGTACTGCGGCCGCCTTTGATTTCCATTGCTTGAATGACGCACTGAGGCTGGTATTTGGCCTGCCATCGATTGTTGATGACATGTGAGGTTAGGTGAACGGAAGTGAAGAGTCTCGGAATTCAGGACAGAGAGGCACTTTATGCTGAGAGTCCTCGGCGCGCGTTGGGACTTATACTCAGAGGGCAGGCACGCCCCAGCATCCTCGGTTTCGCGGATCGCTTCGAGCAAGGATGCTAGAGATCGAAGCAAGCGCATGGAATCAAGATCTATTTTTTGGACAAGATCAGCTAGGGCGATTCCCGAGGATTAAGCATAACATACAATATATGATGGATCAGTCCTCTCATGGGACAGCAGGATCGCTCAACAATCCGCGTCGTCATGGTGCTTGGATTAACATTTGTTGGGACAGGGATGGACTGATAAATGCCGCGGTCGTGCGTTGACCTCATACCCTTGATACCGAGCCAGTTACCCGGGCAAGGTGCCAATAAGTTGTGGTTTGGATGTCTGCTGGCAGATCGACAACCATCGGAGTTGACGCAGTTTACTATTGTTCTGAGAACAACAACCAAAAGTGAAACCACAGTCTACTGGAACATGGCGTAGTGTATGCTACAAGGGCAAGCGCTACAAAACACAATGTTAGATTGGATGAATCGTCACGCATATCACACACACCTCTGCTCGTGTTACTGCATTGGGACTGGCGTAATAACTTGAATGAGAGTCAGTCGCCGTCAGTGCGAACAAGACGGTGTACCAGTTCTCAAGCCACCATCATGTTTTATGCAATATCCCACACACCAACACTCTCCTTCTCGCAGGTTGATTCCGTACATGTTTGCCATATACGCGTGGACAGAGAGGTCCCGCCGTAAGGCGCTGCGTGCGTCTAATTTGTACCTTGATCCACGGATCCATCGTCACGGCAGTCGTGCTGACTCTTCATGGGATAAGCTGGGAGCATAGTTTATATCTGAATATCCAGGATTTGGTTTAACGTCAGAGGAAGGAGACTTGCTGTAAGGAGGGCGAAGTGACGCGTCCAGGGTGCGGAGTGTACCTTTCCGCCGAGAGCTCTCATTCGTCCTTTTTTTGATGGTCCAATTCTTCTATTTCCTGACATCACGCGATCTATACTGAGAAAATAGCCCATGGACCTGTAATCATGGACTGAAGTGTAGGAATTTCGCAAGTTTTGCCCAAATAAAGTCAATTGCCCAGGACGGCGACGTCAATGGCGCACGTAGGATGCGGATGGTGAAGCTCTAGATCTCATACAGGGTCTGCTCCATGAACGAGCTCCATGAACGAGCATTTGTGCTAAACCATTGACCCGACGAACACAAAAGAGCCTCTTACTAACAAACCAAGACTATGCGAGTCACGTGCCAATCTTCTGGGTTAGGGTTTGCGTCAGACGGCAGTGGGCCGTCATCACTTTTCGTCCATGTCGGTGCACATTTCGCCCGATGTTATGTCCGAAGTATCTGTCAAAAACTGATGATCTGCGCTCTGCTTGCTTGTTAGTCATCTCACTGTCATGTTCGTTGGCAGCCATGGGAGCACTGCTTACAGGAAGCACACCCATCAGGGTGACCGACCCCTCGAACTGCGCCCACTGCAAGGCTTAGGTGCTACTAAGCACCAGCAAGGTTCGTCCAACGGGCAAGTCAGTACGACTACTGTGAAGATGGGGTATAAAAGCATCACAAAATTTTGCTACGTATGCACATTCACTTGCCTTGTTAACTACCTAAAGTGCTAAAGTCGCCAGCAAACAACAACTGAACTGTAACACCCGCTATGCCCTCATACGTGATTGCCGGCGCATCCCGCGGTATTGGGGTTTGTGATTCACATCCAACTCCTCTTCAGTCTGTCTAACATGCTATACTATCTTTTAGCTCGAATTTGTAAAGCAACTCCTCGCAAAAGGGGATGTCGTGATCGCTATTGCGCGCACCCCTGAGAAGTCCACGGGTCTACAGGAGCTGAAGGGCGAGAAGAACCTACATATTCTTCAGGGCGATATCAGCAAACCCGAGGACATGAGAGTGCGCGGTTGTCAAGTGCCTCTGGATGGGATGACGTGCTGAGGGTTTGACAGGCTTGTGCGGATGCGACGGCGAGAATCACGGGCGGCTCAGTCGATGTCTTGATTAACAATGCCGCTTATCTGGGTTACGAAAACCAATACAACGCCATTGACGAGTTGTGCGTTCCTTGGCTCTTGACGCTCATTTTGTGCTGACATGCCTGCGCAGTTCATCCGATGCAGCCCTATTAGACTCGTTCACGAATAATTGGAACACCAACGTCCTCGGAGTGATCTTCACGACGAACGTGTTCCTCCCTCTCCTCGCCAAAGGGGACCTCAAGAAGGTCCTTACCCTCAGCTCGGGCCTGGGAGATCCCGTGTTCAGTCTCAACACCGAGTTTGACTGGTGTGTCGCGTACTCGGTCGCTAAATGCGCGCTGGAGATGGTCAATGTGAAGTATGCTGGTACGTCTGTCTTTCGTCTTCATTCTCAGGGTTAACATTCCACAGCGAAGTACAAGAAAGAGGGATGGACATTTCTTGCCATCTCCCCAGGTGTGGTCAACACCCAACTAGAACCCCGTGCGTGCTTCCCTTTTGGTGTATTTCTCTTCCATCTAACCGTATCCTAGCGCCTGACTGGGCCCTCCCAAGCCTGCAAACCATGACTGCCGCTTTGCAGAAAGCGGCACCTCACTGGACCGGTCCGCTCACCCCAACCCAGAGCGTGGGGATGATGCTTGATGTGCTTGGGAAGGCCGGGCCGGAGCAGAGCGGCAAATTCGTGAGCCAATATGTAAGCCTTTCTCTAGCGGTTTGGGAATGTGCTGATGAGGCAATGATAGGGGAACAAGGAGTGGCTCTGAGGGTTTTCCCTTTGTGCTATGTATGGGGGATGATTACATCCCTTCGCGGTTTGGGCTTGAGTACTGATTTTGTATTGCATGAGAAAGTCCAGGTACAAGTCCAGGTACTGCTGGAATGTTCAGGGACAGCAATAGTAAGAGCATCTGGTCAGATCGTTGACTCTTGCTAGCAATGCTTGGGACTTGTCCATGCTGGTAACGATTTGCAAGATCGATCATACAATGCCAAGGCTTAGCACAACTTCGATCGTCGTGATCGAGCCTAGCATTCCTCTCGACCCCCATTCCTGTCCAGCCACCGATGTCGAACACACCCGCACACCTAAGCTCACTCTCAAGACACTGCACCTATCGCACCCTCCCAACCCTAAGACTAAGACGACCAAGCCGAAACCCAAGCCTGAGCCTAAGATAGAAGCACGACGTCAGAGCGTGCGTATCCCCGGATTGGACGCCAGCAGAGAGGGGGAAAGCTCGGATCAACACGTGAACATAGATATTAGGGTGTGCAGCCAGGTGTAGGAAAGGCGGATCAGCGGGGTTGCTCTTTTGGAGATTGGGTGGGCTGGCTAGCATGGATGTTGCAGGATGTCACTGAATGTCTGGTGGATCGTGGTATTGAGCTCATGAGAGGTGGGATGGAATAAGCACTCATCCAAATTTATTGATGATTTTCCTCAAAAAGGTGCGCTTCGACCGATTGGAGAATATGATCGGAGCTGGGCTTGGCAGATTCGCTACGAAGACATCCCGCCCGTCTTTTGTCAAACCACATGACCCCACACAACCAGTCAAGGATGCAGCAAGTCCGGTCCGTTCATGCATTAATATTATTCCGTCAACTGCCCGGGGCGAATGACATGTTCATCCGAAGGGGGGCGCCCCGATATTTGGCTCCTGCTATGTTTCGCGTCCAGGGAGCCACAATTCCTCGTGCTGGTGAGTCACCCGACACAACTGCTCGAAACAAGTTATACGGCCACGCTTTACCTCTCACCAGGCAGTTCTCCAACCGCACCGATTTTTATTGTCGGACAAAGGGAAACCTGTTTATAGATGGAAGTTCGTTGTGACACTTGTACGAAAGGCCGATCTTGTACCCCACAAGCACAAGTACCGGCTTGGATCGATGAAAATTTGGATCTTGCGTCGGACAGGACAATCAAGCATTTGTGAGTGGGCTTGTGTTTCTTGGCTAGGGCTTGGATTTTATAACAACTTGAATGTTCGGGAGATGCCTGAAGGTCGAATCACAGCTGGTGGTGTCCTCATTAAAGCCGAACTCAACGGAGCAGTGTCCTTGGAAGATGTGAGCGACGAATGGAAGGATGATGCGCAAATAACCCTAATGGAATCAGAGTTCTATTCTCGGCCTGATGCGCTGTTGAACTCCGACTTTCTTTTGGCGTCATCCGCCCGTTCAAACTACTCAGTGCGTATGTCGACTTTTGTGATACCTGGTAGTTGGCCGGGGGCCTTGACTTCCAGAACGGTGGCTGTGTGCCCTGACCCGAGAGTATGGATGAACTGGAGATGAAGATGATGTTGCTTGAAAGAGAGTGCAGGGATATATAAGCGAGAAGATGATGAGGTGTAAACGGCGCTCAACCTAATTACCGAAGCACACCCGGAAGGGTCGATCACCCGCCGGTGGAGGGGAGGTATCCCTGAAAGCACGCGTGATGTGGAATGTGCCGCGTGGGTAGCCTCCGTGCCGATTCTACGAAGCACGCGAACTCAGGGGAAAAGGGACCGACCAGGGGTTAGGATTTGGAAGGAGCGCATGAGCAGGGCAGTGGTTGACGTCACCCTCTTGGATAGTTGGGATTACGCATTCCAGTATTAATGACACTAGATGCGCTGGTATGCTCCCAGAGTGGGTATTAGAGGAATGTAATAGGCTGCCTGTAAGAGGTGAGCGCTTGCTTGCTGGCTGAGCGCTCAGGGACAAAGAGAGAGCTGAAATGACTCTAAGAGGGGATAACGTTAGGGCCGTGTGTAAGGGCCGTGCAGCCGACGGTAAGCCGAGTTGGCATCTCCGAGGGGACGGACGTGAGCAGGTGCTGAAAGAGTGGGCAGTGATTGGGGTCTTGGGGTGCCTGCCTTGTTACCTTGCATTTCCTGGTGGACGGGAGTAAAGTAGAAAGTGGAAGGTGAGGACCCCGGGACCTGACCCCGTTTTTGTATTTGGGTGATGGATATAGAAGGCAGGTACCCGCTGGAGCGTTATTCAGTAGTATGCAACTTGCACGGCCCGCTTCCCCCCCCCCACTTGGCTCCCACCTCCAATTAGGTGCTGCTCACCCGCTCTCGTAGCGCCTACCACTCCTTTCCTCATCACCTCTTTCCTTCTCCCCATCGTCGTCCCTCCTTCCTTCCCTACTCCGCAAAGCACTCCGTGACCGCTGTAGCAACTTTGATCTTCACCATTTTGCGCACCCGCATATGTCCCTCCTCAAATGGATGGGCGTAGGCCAGGCAGAGCCACCGCCTCCGCCCGCCGTCGCAATCCCCGGCAAGGAGCGCACACCGGGCGACGCAGCGAGCAAGATGTTCGGGATGGAAAACGTTCGCTTGCCTTTTATTACTCTTCATCCCGTAGCTGACTCTTCTTCCCGTCCCGCACAGTTCGGCAATACATGGTAAGGTCATCCCCGGCTTTGTAACCCGCATATATGCTAACCCCATCGCAGCTACGCCAACTCCATTCTTCAAGCGCTGTACTTCTGCCAACCCTTCCGTGACTTGGTATGCGTAACGCCCGACGGCCGCCCACTCCCTGAGATCCCTATCGAGTCCCTACTCGAACAGGTCGCTCAGCCTACACCTCCCCCCAAGGACCCGGCGACCAACGGTTCCGCTTCCGCCTCTGCTTCGACGGTCAATACCGCCAATCCTGGAAACGGCACGTCGGGGAATGGGAAGGCCCCGCCCACTCCGGGACTCGGAGGCCCCAAGCTGAGCTTCAAGCGCCAGAACTCGGTGACCCCCATGACCGGCACTCCTGCAGAGTCTGTACCCGCGCTCACTTCACTTTCGGTGGCCACGAGTGCAGAGGGCAGCCCAGCACCCTCTGACCTCCAGCCTGTACGGTCGATCGAGTCACTCCCCCGTCTTCCACAAAGCATATTTAGCGCCTTGCGCTCGCTTTTCCTGCATATATCCCTCAACGTAGAAGAAAAGGGCATGGTCTCCCCCTCTGCATTCATCGCCGCCCTCAAGAAGGAGAACGTCGATTTTCGCACGAGTCAGCACCAGGATGCGCATGAATTCCTTAATTATCTCCTTAATAGGGTCGCAGAAGATATCGATGAAAACCGGACACGGTGGGAAGGCGTGCCCCTGGTAGCACGCAAGGAAAATGGGAAGGGGAATGGAAGTGGGAATGCAAATGGACACCCAGCGGTGGAAGACTCGGGCTCCCTGGCGCATACATCTGTCGATGGGTCCTCCGCTCCTCCCACCTTGGCCAGTGTCACTCCCTCCAGCTCTCCGCCCCCAAGCCCCCCTCGACCCGCGCAGCGTCCCCTCCCCTCAGGGAGGCCTACGATGGTGCAGAGCCTCTTCGAAGGATTGCTCACCAACGAGACGCGCTGTTTGTCGTGCAACACTGTTTCTCATCGGGATGAGACGTTCTTGGACTTGTCAATCGATATCGAGCCTAATTCAAGCGTAACGGCGTGCCTGAGGGAGTTTAGCAAGGGGGAGATGCTCCTTGAAGATAATCGGTTCAGGTGTGATCATTGTAATGAGTACTGCGATGCGGAGAAACGGTGCGTCCTCAAGCTTCCTACATAGTACCTGGTGCTAATGCTTTTGCGTAGAATGAAAGTAAAGACATTGCCAAACGTTCTTGCCCTCCATCTCAAGCGGTTCAAGTACATCGAGGATGCGAACCGCAATATTCGCCCCACCAAGCTTACGTATCGAGTTGCCTTCCCCCTTGAACTCCGCTTGTTTGATACCTCGGACGATGCGCAAAACCCGGATAGACTGTATGAATTGTTCGCCATTGTTGTGCATATTGGAGCGTAAGTCCGCTCTTCTTCGATTTCGAGTTTACGCTGACGTTGCACGCAGGGGATTGGCACATGGCCATTATGTAACTGTTGTCCGCACCCAGGGGAAGTGGGTCCTGTTCGACGATGAGGCGGTGGACGTGATTAAAGAATCCGATATTATGAAGTACTTCGGCGACGCTCCCGGAGGCCAGGGCTACGTCCTATTCTACCAAGCAGTCGATATGGATATCCACGCTCTTGGTCTCCCCGACAGGTTACATCACGCGGCGCCGAAGACGACAATCCCTCCTCCCGCGTTTCCACCCGAGTGGAGCTCGGAAAAACAGTTCGCAGACCATGGGGTCGTGTACACCCCTTATGCAGGAACGAGTCAAGCGCAAGCAGCGGCCTCACTTGTCCCTCTCCCCCCGCCTGCGCCTACCCCTCCCACTCCCGTCGCAGCACATCCAGGCAGAAAGGGGCTCAAACTCGACATCCCCGCTACGCCAAAATTCGATGCTTCGGCAACGCTCAACTCTCTCCGTGGCCTTACCGGTCCGCTGACGATGCCTGCCCAAGGCAGTCGGGAGCAGAACGGAGGGTTCTTCAGTCGGACGCCGAGACACTCGCAGAGCAGGCTCGATAAGGCTTCGTCGGCGCAGGCGCCCATATCCCCGCTCACGGCGTTGCCTCCTTCGGGCGGGTTGCCACCTACCGCTCCGCCACAGTTGAAAGCAAGGCCTTCGTCTAGGGGGAAAGACGCTGCTGCCTGGCTGGCGGGGAAGATGGGTAAGGAGAAACGACGTGAGGGAGAGGAAGCGGCCGCTGCTCCTGGAACTGGAACTGGCACCCCGATGCCGAAAGATGACGCACCGCCCGTACCTCCCCTCCCTCCTTTGCCCATTGCCCCCATCAATGGCGCAGTGTCGGAGAATGCCCTGGTGGGACTGGGTATCCACCCCGATCAGAAGAGGCCGTCCCTTCCTGCCAGCCTTGAGCGTGTGCAGGAAGCGATGGTCCTTCATCCGCCTCCGCCGCAGTCGCAAGAAGATCCTCTGGTATCGGTACACCACCATCATCATCATACCGCCGGGGTATTCCCGCACGGCGCGTCTGCACCGGTTAGCGCCAGGACCTCGGGCATGCTTTCCCCTCCTACCTCACCCAGTGCTCCGCTCTCCCCGTCCTCGCGGACATCTTCCAGCCTACAAGCAGCTCCGATCCTGGAATCTCCTACTGAGGACAGTACAGGGACATCGCAGAGTGTTGAGGCAAAGTCTCCTCATGGTCCGTCTCTGCATCGGAAGCGTCCCTCTACCGCTGGCGGGAAACTCTCCAATGGACCACTGACGGTTCGTCCCCCTGAGGAGACGAACGGTACCACCGGATTTGAGAAGATCCGTGGGCGCCGGGCGTCAAGGGATGATGCCGGCGACAGGCCGAAGTGGTATAAGCGGATCGGGAAGAAAGAACGACCCTCGACCGCTAGTGGGAAGCTGGAAGACGAAGATGATTATGCGGTCGAAAATGATGTCATTGAGATCAGCGTGTCTGGCGGACTGCACTCCTTTGAACCTCCCATGGGGAGACATCACTATGTTCCTCCACCAACATTGACAAGCACACCGACACTTACTGGGCCGACGAAGACGTCGACACCCGATGTCGATACCTCAACCACGTCGATCGACAACTCTTCTTCTACTTCGTCTGATGAACGTGCGGATCGGACAGGACCGTTACCGCAAACCCCCTTCCCTACGCAATCGATGCCCCCGCCTTCGTTCCCTTCGCACATGTCTGCTCCGACAAGCCCGAATCACTCGCACGCAGACCGCCCTCCCGATCCACCAAAGGCGAAGAGAAAACTGAGCATGCACAAGCCAGCGCTCCGACGCTTGAGCTGGTTTGGCAGCAACAACAACCTGAAAGAACCTGTGGACGCGTCCGACACCGTCCCGCCTTTGACTCCAACCGAAAAGAAGTCTCGTATCCCTCTTGGCCGTTAGAGACTGTTTGGTATATGTGCATTCTACAAAAACGAAACCAATTTCGGCTTTCATCTGTCCACGCATTCGACTTTTTCCTGGATATTTAGTCATATCATACCGCCGTCCTCCTATTGTATGCTGTTGGTTGAGCTGATGGCGCATCCTTGGTTTGCTGCCCCCTCTCAATATTGTGTTGTTATATCTTTATCACAGCCTCGTCCGGCTCCCCATTGAATCTTGATTTCCACCCGACATACACAGATTAGTACGCAGGGTCGCTCGGATGGATGTACAACTAGAGACACTCGAGGTTTTACTTGTCTATATTTGCAATGAACGGCTTACCCTTCCGAGACGAGCACGAACGAGCACATGGACCGGAGGATGCGATGCCGCCCTTGGCATGCTACCCTGGCTTTGCCCAATATTTTTAGGCATTTTGAAGCAGACTGTCCAGCAATTGTTCATCCCCATGCTGCGCGACCCCTCAGCACCTTCGAGGTCGGGCGACCGTGTGTGATTGCGGCCGAGAGTTTCGAGAGAGTCATCTGCGGATGACGACGCCAAGCGATGCCGCAATGAACGCCAAGCCAAAGTGGTGCCTGGCCGTGTGGCTCATTGTTGAGCACACGTTGAGAAGACCCTGAGAAGAACAACACGTTGCTCTGATTCTCTGCTTCCAATGGCTCCCTCTGCTTCTCCACTACCCAACACCTCATGTACACCTTCATCATCTCCGAACTCGGATTAACGGCACTCGGAGGCCGAGTAAAGACAAGGTCCTCGACAGAACATCCCATGTGCTACCACAAAGTGGCTAGTACGAACGAATATTGCAAGCCGCATGGAACATTCTCTGAACCCCAGACTTACCAAGATTGCCTAATCTGATATAAAATCGCGAACCATGCGGGCGAAGAGGACCAAGCCAGCTGTTCCAACCTCAGCCAGCTCAGCTCAAGCCTTCCTCACACGCCAAAATGGTCGGCATGCTCTCCCTCCTCCTCTCTGCCTCTCTCGCGCTCGCGACACCTACCGAGCTCGCACCCCGCTGGCCTCCTGTCAGCACGACGACCTGCAATGGCAAGGAGTACGTCTACCAAGGTCTGACTGGATTCGGCAAGGTTGCGTCCAACTTCCGCGACAAGTACGGCGACACGCTGTCATTCGGCTCGTCCGCTGCTGTTGAGCCAAAGACTTGGAAGCTCCTGTCCAACGGCACCCTCACCGGTACGTTCTGGATGCTTCCCGATCGCGGCTGGAACACGAACGGCACGACCAACTTCCAACCTCGTGTTCACATCTTTGACGTCTGGTTCACCCCTCTCGAGGATGGTGCGCCTGCGCCTGCTCCCCAAAATCTCATCTTTGGGTACAAGGATACTGTCCTCTTGTTTGACCCTACGGGCAAGGCCACTACTGGGCTCGATGCTAACTCTGCCCTGACTTTCCATGGTATGCCTACCATGCCCGCTGCCCAGTACACTGGGGACGGTTGGGGCGGACCTGGCAACGGTGATACTCGCGTCTCTCTCGATTGCGAGGGTATCGTCCTGGATCATGATAGCACCTTCTGGATCTCGGACGAGTATGGTCCTTACGTCTACCGTGTGTATTTCCACTTGGATTACTTCCCATCCTGATCGTTGCCTAGACTTCACCCGCGAGGGCAAAATGATCGATGCTCTCGCACCCCCTGAGGCACTTATTCCCCACCGCAACGGCACGCTCTCTTTCTCTGCCGACAGCCCTCCGATCTACGCCCCTGACGCCCTTCCCATCCCTGCCAACCCCAACACCGGTCGCTCAAACAACCAAGGTCTTGAGGGTCTTGCTGCCGACCCCAGCCGCAAGCACATGTTCGCACTTCTCCAGTCCGCTACTGTGCAGGACGACGGCACGGATGCTAGCAAGCGGCGGTGGACGCGTCTGCTCCAGTACACCCGGGAGGCTGGTAAGTACATCTACACGAACGCGTGGGCTCTCGGTCTCCCTACCTACCTCACCGCTGCCAATGCGACGCGCATTGCTGCCCAGTCCGAGCTGCACTATCTCACTCAAGAGCAGTTCTTCGTCCTTCCCCGTGACTCCTCCGCTGGCCACGGCATGCCCAGCTCCCTCTCCCTCTACCGCCATATCGACATTTACGACATCTCTGCTGCGACCTCCATCCACACCCCCACGCTTGACGCTGTGAACGGCACGATCGCGCCTAACGGTACGCTCCTCCCGTCCATCACCCCAGCCAAGTACTGCTCCTTCATCGACTTCAACGACAACGCCGAGCTGGGCAAGTTCGGCCTGCACAACGGTGGTGCAGACGACGACAACCTGCTGAACGAGAAGTGGGAGGGCATGGTCGTCCTCCCTGCAGACGGCAAGGATGCCAAGGACGGGTGGTACTACGTCATGGCCACGAACGACAACGACTTTGTTACCCAGGATGGGTACATGAACTTTGGCCAGATTCAGTACAAGGATGGCAGTGGGTTCAACTTTGATAATGAGGCCCTTGTGTTCAAGGTCCAGCTGCCTAGGGGTGTTAGGCCTTTCAGCTAGACGCACCGCTTTTTGTTAGCTTTTCATGACGTAACAGTTTAATAATGGACGATCTTATCATTGTTAATGTTGATTGTCATCGTCCTTTAGTCAGCCAGAGTCCGCCACCAATTTGTTGACCCTTGTCAGCTCCTCGACCTCAACTACCAGCCCACCGATGGGATGACAACCTCCAGCGCAACTTCTCTGACAACTCAGAGCTACTATGAGTTGCTCAACATACCTCAGGATGCAACATCTCAGCAGATAAAACAAGCATACCACCGGCTGCTGCTCCTGCATCACCCTGACAAACGCTCCGCATCCGGGACGGCAAGCCCCTCGGCGAAAGGTGTATCTCCGAAAGTAGATTCACCCGGGACGGTCGATGTGGCCCTACTTACGGTCGCATATTCGACGCTCTCGTCCGAGGAGCGTAGGAAGGGATACGATGATCGACTGGGAGAGGGTGGACGTACTAGTGTGTCACAGGAGAATGAACTCGAGAGGAAGACACGCCGTCCAGCCGAGGTCGTCTCGCTCGACGAGTTCACGCTCTCTATAAACGAGAAGGGGGAGGTATGGACATATCTTTGTCGGTGTGTACATGCGGTTGTAAAGCCACAGCTGTGCGCTGATGATGTCCTAGGTGTGGCAACTTATACATGATCCACGAAACGGATATGGAGGCTGACGTGCACTTACTTGAATGCGGAGGTTGCTCGGAGGTCGTCTGGGTGGAGTACGAAGAGGCAGGAGAAGATATTACAGATGTTGGGATCACAGGAGAATAGACGAGCACGAAGGACTGGGGATGTTAGTCGCTGGTATAAGGTAGGTGAGCTACATGCTGGTTCTTTGACGATCGTGCTGATAAGCAACTCAGGAGACCAAACTCCACCTGTTGACCTCGTATATGAACCGTCAGTGAATTTTGACGCTCACATTCTCGCGAGGACGCCTGGGTCGATATCACATATTGGAAAGAATGTCATGGTACCCTAGTTTTGGGCCCGAGTTTGACCAGGCCAATGCAACCGTGTAGATGGTTAACAATGAGTAGAATCTCGAGTTAGCAGCACTTCGCTTTTACCAACCGATGCGCCATCTGTTATGTATTCGTTGCAATAGGTAACTTGATGATTAATGATGATATCTGTTGCACACGCTGTTAGTGGAGTTATTGACACGCACCCGATGCGGGCAAATCTGAGCGTAAACGGTGCATGTCCGTCTACGATACATCGAATGGCTAGCATTACGACCTATTCGAACAGCGCATGGGTACATGATCCATCTACCGTCCAGCCTCATTCGAAGTCTGGCCAATACTCTGTTCCTGCGCCTCTCTCAACAGCTCTCTCACCTCCGCATCTCCAGTCTCTTCCTGCCCAAGCATTTCCCCCTCATCGGCATACTCGATCTCCTGCACTTCCGTATCCTTATCCACCGCATGCGTCTCTCCGCTCATGTGTATCTTCACCCGTTCTGGCAGGCTTGCCGACTCGGCCTCGACGACGTCTGCTCCTCTCGCTTCGTCTGGGGCCTCGATCACCGTCGTGTCTCCTGAAGGGTGCAAAGGTGCCACATGCTGCAAGTCCCCATCCTCCACCTCCATGTCTACCAAATCCATTTCCTGCGCGTCGTCCGCCTCCATCGCGCGCCGACGTCTACCAGGCACAGAAGTCGGGGGTAGCGACCCGCTTGCGCCTAGAGCGGGAGGGGACATCTCCCCCACAGGAGGGTAGATGACGAGCGCATTCGGGTGTTCTTCCGGGCTGTCGGGGGCAGGGACGTCCGGTAGAGGGATCTCCCTCAGTCCTGGGGAAGCAGCGAGCACCGCCGGGCTAGGCGTGAACGCCGCTTCCTCCACCGCGTTCGCGGCTTCATGACTAGGGCTAGCGATGCTCCTTGCTAGCGCGCTCTGTTCTTGCGTGCTAGACCCCTTGGCTGGGCCGGAAGAGGGAGGTGTGTCGGAGAGGTTCAGCGCGCTGAAGCGCACCATCGTTTCTGTCCGTCGAAGCTCCTCGATACAGGAAGTGTCGTCTTCCTCGTCCTCGGGATGAATGGCGGGGATCATGAGGAATTCAGGGTCGAGGAGGTCGTACGTCCTCACGAGGGCTTTGAATCGCGCATACACGGAGTGTTCTGCCTATGAGCGTAGGGATACGTGAGTAGTGCGAGCGTGGAAAGGGAATTTTATATGGACCCACCTCGGACTCTTCGAACACCTCCCGGTGGTGGAAGTACGCATGCATGAACACGCGTGCGAGTCTGCGCGCTATGGCTGGGAAATGCCGTTGTGATGTCTGGGGGACAGATAGGCGGGAAGGGAAGTTCTTCGGAGAGTTGAGTAGTGCCGTAGTGTGGTCGATCGTATGTAACGTATAGTCTATTGCACAACATTGCTAGCAGATGTCAGTCTGATTCGGGCGGTAAACAAGCCCCGGGAACGTACCCCCATAGTCGACTGTCCTGCCCCGTGTGCGGTGCATACATACTGCCACTCGTTCGCCTTCATCTCAGGGCATGTTAATCTCGTGCATTCGAGTTGCAGCTGAGTGATAAGCGGATCGTTCATATCCTCCACCAGTCGTCTACATAGCACGTCAGGACCCTCTCTCTCTCCTGCGACGATGTGCAAGGCAAGTAAAGTGACATACCGCATCTGTTCATACACCCACGCCCATTTCTCTACCTCTTCCCCATCAACCCCCGTTGGAAGCTTCGTCAGCCTAGTAATCGAATGCGTGTCGTATCGTAGCAGCAGCGCAAGATATTCCTGCAGCTCGAAGGCGCTGTCTAGCGAGGCGAGGGATGGGACTGCGCTCGGTCGGGTGAAGGCATGAGCGAGGGATGTACCTGGGTGTAAGCGTGTTGATGGTGATACTGATGTTGCCATATGAGGTGATAGAGATGTTGAGCGGAAGACTGAGTTGTAAAGGCAGCGGAACGATGAACGATATCCAAATTCTTGCAAAAGGACATCAACTGGACACAGCCATCGAGACGCGTCCCTTGCTTACCAATGTTCGCAGCAACTTGCTAGTTCCAACATTAATGCTGACATGCGCATAGTGGTCAATATCCAACCTTGAGAAACAGATAGCGGGTATAATTATAAATATTCTCTATCTACGCAGCCTAGTCAAAAACAACCATTCAAGTTCCCCCTGCTCCAAATACACTGTTGGCAGACTGAAGCACTTTGCGATGGGGCGGTCGAGGATGTCCTGCGAATAGGAGCGCCTGTGGGGAGCTCCTTATTCGCTGATCGCTTGCGTTTAGCCATTTCTGAAGACTGTCATGTCGCTGTTCGTACGAGGGATGGGGCGCACTCACACGATATACAACGTTAACGGCTCTTACAACGATATGTGACATGAAGGAGGCTGGAGTGATGAAAAGCTGTTGCATCTCAGAAATCTCAAAGTGTCCATCCATGCATATGCTTTCAACATCCAACTTAATTCTGTGTCCCAAGACCAGCTATTTCCTCGTCACACTGAGTCACGAGATCCGTGAGACCCAAGCGCCCAAACATCTCCCGTGCTTCCTCGTAATTCCGTTTCGCGTCTTCCGGTCTCTTCGCTTGAACATGCACAGTAGCCAGGAGTGTGACACATGCCACCTCTCCGAACAGTTGTCCCATGGCCTTGAACTGCGCCCTCGCGTCTTCCAGCGCAGAGACAGCATCGTCATATTTAGCAACGCTGGTTAATGCTTTCCCGATGCATTGCGTGCACTGTGCCATACCCGTTCGGCCGCCCAGTCTTTCAAACTCGGCCTTCGCCTCGTACAAGTTTGATAGCGCGTCTTCATACCGGTCCGAATCGAGGAGGACGTTCCCAATGTTGAGGGCACACTGTGCCTTACCGAACTCGTCTCCGATCGCCGTGAACTGGTTTCTGGCCATCTCGAGGTTCTTCAAAGCGTCGTCCGTTTTATTTTCTATAGATTGGACATTTCCAAGGCTGACCAAACAGTGCGCAGCACCAGATCGATCACCAAGAGCCTTAAACTGCGTCTGTGCCTCCTCTAACATCGAAATTGCTTCTTTATTGTCCGATGTAATAACCAAGACTTCGGCAATGCTCCGTGCACAATAAGCGGCAAAGCGGCGTTCACCAATGGCCTCAAATTCGGCTTTGGCCGCTCTGAGGGTAGAGAGGGCATCGTCGTAACGATCGAGCATGTGGAACGTATCCCCAAGCGTATGCATACATTGCGCAGCTCCGTATCGTACCCCCAGAGCTTCAAATTCCGCTTTTGCCTTGTTGAGGATGTCGATACCTTCATCATACCGGCTGAGCATGTACAGTGCGCCGCCGATACTCTGCATACACTCGGCAGTGCGCATCCGGTCCCCGACAAGTTCGAACAACTTGCGCGCTTCTTCGAAATTTGTCATCCCGTCGAGCCATCGGCTGCGGACGGTGAGGATCTTTCCGCGTCGTTGTGTGCATAGCGCGATCCCAAGATCGGAGTGTATGGACTGAAGCGCGCTCCTCGCGCCAGTGAGGAGGCTGGTGCAGTCCCCGAAAGTAGCCAGGTAGGAAAACTGCGCAAGCTGCAAGGTAGACGTGAGCAGGATGGTCATAATAGGCTTGTCAGCTGCCAATGTCCAGGAATACATCAGCACGGAGTTGATATTCCCAAAGTCGGGAGACAAACGACCGATCGTCTCCTTCGGATTATCATTGATCTGGTGCACAGAGGCGGTCATGTTGGTAAAATAGGTCCGCAGTTCCTGGAACGAGCTCGGGTCGGGCGGATAATGGTCCAGCATGAAATCCCGGATCGGGGTCAGACATCGGATTCTGTCATTGTTGCGGATAAGGAGGGCGACAGCGAGTAGGACAAGTGCGTTCTTCCTCGAGTTCAACATGGAGGGTACCATCAGCCGCAGAGCAGCAACAGGCGCGCCATCAGGTAAGAGCGCGAGGAGGGAAAGAAGTTTCCTTGCTTCGGGATTCTGGGCGACCGAGGGTGTGCTAAGTGAAAGGCGGATGGAGACTTCCAAGCTCGTGAGCCGCTCTCGACCCGTCTCGACCAGCGCCGTCTTCTCGCTTTCGTACGCGTCCAATAGCTCGGAAGGGGAAAGCAGTTGGCCCTGGTGCGCGAGGAGCGTGATCGCCAGTGGCAGCCCGTCCAGCCGGAGGAGGAGGTCGTCTCGAGCCTTCGGGTCCCCGTCGGGGCCGGCGATCCCAATCCAGATCTCCCGCGCAGCGGCAAGTGATACCGGGGCGAGGGGTTCGCAGCCTTCGGCCCAGCTCACCCCTCCGGGTCGGAGAGCACCGCGCATCGTTATCACCAGAGAGACTTTGGGGTGCTGTGCGAGCTTCCCGAGGAGGGCTTCGACTTGCACACGCTCGGCTTCCCAGGCAGTCTCCAGGTTGTCAAGCACTAAGAGGGCGCAGGAGGTGGTTTCCAGAGCGGCGAAGAGTGCGCGTCTGGGGTCTGCTTGCGGGCGGAGACCGACCGCAGCGGCGAGCGCGTTTAGCACTCCTTCGGCAGTAACGAGCCCTTCGCAGCTGATGAAGAACCTGTTTTCGCCAAAGCGCGCTCGGATGCTGGGGTCGTTCAGGAGCGCAGAGGCGAGAGAGGTCTTGCCTATCCCGCCGGGGCCGAGCAGGGGGATGTGCGCTTTGGACTGGAGGAGGGTGAGTAGGAGGGAGAGGAGGGCACCGCGGCCGTGGAAGTTTGAGGGGAGAGGAGGGAGGTCGGCTAGTGGCAGGTGGGCGGGGCTGGGGATGAGCAGTTTGTGAGAAGTGGGGGTAGGAAGGAAGGAAGGGGACGTACATCTGGGAGAGGGAACCTGCGGCCTACGGAATTAGTTAGAGATAATTTGGTTACCAGACAATAAAAGACCCACCCCACGCTCTAATACTCTCACACGGTCATCGATATCACTCACATAGACCAGCTAAACCTCATGAGCACGTGCACGCACCAGGAAAAGTCGCGTACCATATAGGTCGAGCATATACCGTCCAGCTTCTTGCGCAATTTTGCCAGTTCATCGGGAAAGGCCAGCCTGCGCACGTGCCCGAGCGACTTTTGGCTTTTTCGTATGAAGACATCCACTTGTCCTATAGCGCTTTTGCTCATCAATAGGATAGGAGAGTGTGTGGAGAGGGAGAAACGGACTCGGTCAGTTCTTGGATGAGGGATACTTCGGTAGGTCCTAAGTCGGCGTTTGCGGAGATCCGGCGAAGAACAAGTTGGTCAACTAGGGAAGCCTTGGCAGCCAGTTCCCGGGAATCATCTTGTTGTTCCCTAACGACCTAGCACCGCGAACCGTCAGGAGCAGAAGAGGAAGACTCGCAATATGGGGAGAGGGAGACGGACGTCATATAGCCCTAGCAGGCGGGTGGTCCCTTCGACCAGGGCACGCTTCACCGGTTCAAGGACAGTGCCAGCTTGGATCTGGGCCGTCCATTGGTCGAGGCTTGTGCGCAAGCCGGCAGGGTAGTCCGAGCTAGAGAGAGCCATGAGCCACCAGTGGCTCGAGCTGCAGATGCAGCAGTGACAAGTAGGAAGTTGGAGTCTGAGACAGTTGTAGTGCTAATGGACCGGAAAGCAGTCAAACGGTCGGCGCGTGCTGCACAACTCCGAGCTACGAACACATGTTGATATCATACAGGGTCAAGGCTGTGCTTCCCGGCGCTTATCTGATTATGACCCGTGACAGGATATCGCAGCAGAAGACAAAAGATCCAGAAGGCAAGGATGTGTATTTGCTCGACAATATTAATGGCGTTGTTGTCGATAGAACATGTGGTTAATGAGCGCAGTCACGCCTGGCTTGGTCAAGCTGTGTCAGCATGAGAGGCAATGACTCGGATTTCTGGTTTTCCTCAGCTGCGAGGGTAAACATCTCACTGCGCAAGGACATGGACGACATGGACGCGGTGCCAGACCCGTGATATGATTGGTCAATCCTACCGAACAGAAAGCATCCGGGAGTCCCGTCGGCTTCTTTTGACTCCGATGACGAGGGAACCTCCGGTCCGTGAGGCTGGTGATTCGCGCAGCACGTGTATTTCCTTATAAGGCAATGGGCGTAAACCCGGTGTCAGCGGGTGATGGAGGGGTATATCTGCCTCAATGCGCTCGACTCATTTCCCCACTTTACTACGTCTACCACTACCACTACCTCTCTCTCAAAATGATCATCGAAGAGGATCCTATTAAACACATTGCTAAAGGCAGCCTAACGGAGGAAGCAGACACTACAGCGTCTGACCTGGCTGATCACGATGTCGCCCCTCCCACGTACGAGGAAGTGCTCGCCAGTACATCGGGATCTGTAGACGCACCTAGTACATCCGCCGCGTCATCCTCGTCATCTACATCGTCATCCTCCTTTCCTCCTCCTCCTCAGAGACGACCGGTAGAGAAGGTCCTGCCACGCGAGGGTATGAACAGGTCCGTCCTCTCCCTCAATACACCCTTATACTCCTATCTAACCCCTCCTAGCTATCCCCCTCCACCCCGTTCCCCACCCTTCGCCGGCCCCTCCTCCCCCTCCCCAACAGCATCCACCTCCACACTAAACACACTCCAATCCGCCCTCGGCAGCGTCGCCAACGCTGTAGCACAGCACTACGCCGCCAAGCACATGTACGAGCAGCAACGGCGGGAAGAGCGTTGGGCGCGGAGAGAACAGAGGTGGGAGAGGAGGGCAGCGAGGAGGGATATGAGGCATGCGCAGTGGGAAGCGCTTGTTAATGGAGTCGCTGGACCGGAGGAGGGCCCGTCTGCTGTGTATGGCAGGCAGCAGGGACACGGACCTGGACCTCAAAGGCCGGGGTATGTACCCTCTCCACCCCAGGCTCCACACGCACCGTATGGAGCGTCTTCACCCCCGGCACCGTATGCGCCCTACGGTTCCCAGGCACAGCGGAATGGGTGCCCACTACAGAGGGGATCGCCGTTCGCCCCGCCCCAGGGCCCGCCGCCTGAAGGTCCGAGCTGGAGAGGAGAGCCAAGGAGGGGCGACGCGCAGGGTGTGCAGCCGTACAATGTTGTAGGGAATAATCCGCCTTCGTCTAAGGGGATGTGAGGGAGGAACGGGAGGTTGTACTGGAGCAGGGGAACTTGAATGGTTTTCTTTTGCTAGGCTGCGTAGATAGAGAATACTTATATATATACCCCCTATCTGCCTCTCAAGGTTGGATATTGACCACCATGCATGTGGGCATTGTTGGAACTAGCAGTTTCCTTCGTTCCTGCGTTGTACACAGTGCAGCTGCGAACGTACATAAGCAGCGCCGACGACAATGAACATTGGATAAGCAAAGAAGGAGAGATGATAACAGGCAAGTGATGTTAATAACATTGATTATTATTTGACAATTGAATATTGCATTTAACAGTGCATGTGCAGAGTGAAAATTATCGCGCTAGAGGATGGACTGGCTGCATTCTCACTCTAAGCAGGTGAAGAATGAAAAACTTGCTAACTCCAACAACGATGATACGTCCCTGATGGTCAATCAGCCTTGATAGGCGGGTGTCGGGTATATGTACACTCCTATCTGACGAGCTCGGTCACTGCCTGGACGCACGTCTTCCTCCCTTCATTATTATCATCTACAAAGAACGAATATGGCAGCAGCAGCGATCACGACCCACCCACTGCCTCTCCCTCCCAGCGCCGACCCGTCCTACTTCCACACCTTTGGCACCGAAGTCCGTGGGCTAGATCCCGGCAACCTCACTCCCTCCCAGTTCAAGCTCGTCGAGGACCTTCTATACAAGCACTCGGCGCTCCTCTTCCGCAACGCTGACCTCAGCCCTGAGCAGCAGTACACACTCACGAAGGCTTTCGATCCGAGCAGCGAGAGCTATGGACATGGGAATAATAAGACTGGGGGGGAGAAGAAGAGTATCTTGCACCCGGATCTGAAGACGATCCCGAGGCAACCCCAGGTTCAGTTGATCGGGAATGGACTGGTACCGGAACACGAGGGGTTGGTTAACGTGCGTCTCTCTCTTCTTGATCCAGTGAGGTCGGGAGGACTGATGATTCGATTCCACAGGCACAGCTCAAGCACCCGCACCATCGGACTTTCCACAAAACCGTCGTCCCTCCGGAAGACGACCTCAAGTACACGCGTTTCTATCGCTGGCATATCGATGCGGCGCTCTACGACCTCTCCCCTCCCAAGGTCACCACCCTGTACGCACTCGCTGTGCCGCAAGGCGAGGCCCAGGTGTGCAGGTACGACGACGGGACGGGGGACGAGCTGCCCGTTCCGCTCGGTACGACCGCGTTCGTCAGCGGGAAGACGATGTTTGACCTCCTTCCCCCTGAAATGAAGAGCGTTGCGGTACGAACGACGGTCAAGTACGCCCCGCATCCGTACGTGTGGATGGCCCCTGCCCATGCGCTCTCCACGGGTTTGGGACTGGAAACCGAGGGCTTGGAGCTCCCGCTCAACGAACTCCCGCAGTGGGAGGAGGGGAAAGTCAAGTTCCTCCCCATGCTGTGGAAGAACCCTGTCACAGGGAATCTGCACTTCGAAGTCCACCCCTGTGGTATCCAAGAGCTGCTTATCGCCCCTCTTCCAAAGGGAGCGTCGCGTGACAATGACGGTGCATCGTACCCCTCTGGTGCCCATCTTACGGAACTCAAAGACGTACGCGACCTGGTGTACAAGATGCAGCGCCCGGCTATCGCTCCTGCCCTCGTGTATCCTCATGACTGGAACGAGAAGGACCTTGTTATCTTCCACAATCGCGGGGTGTTGCATAGTGTTGTCGGCGCGTTCGCGGAAGGACAAGTGCGGATGTTCCACCAGTGTAACCTCGCGGCGAGCGACGACCCCGCTGGACCGAGCGAGGAGGACATCAGGAAGTATGCTTGAGCTTCTTTCAATCCACCAACATGCCCTTCACCTCCTGTCTACCGCCTGATTCGCCTTGTCGTAGCCCGCGATCCCTTCTTCTCGTTCTCATTCAGTCGGCTCAAAGAGGCCTCAAAGAAAGTGAGGTTGTGTTTGTATCTTGTGTAGTATTCAAAGGGCTCGGCAAAATGTATCTTGTTTCAAAGTGTTCAAGAACGCAAATACAATCTCCGCATGCGTTTATTGTACAACCTCCAGTTATTTCGAATGAGTGAATACGCTGGTGAATGTGCCACTGTTTAGGCTTGCGGTCCAATGTGATACATTAAATATCCAAATAAAAGTCGATGCTTGTAGATACAATGGGCTTAAATAACCGGGGTATACCCTCCATCATGCGGGAAAATGCAGCATAAACACTCTCTTTGGTTCCTCACGAACGCTCAGCAACCATATGAATCGGTGACCATCCACTCGCTTGGCCGAGATTGCATCCCGAATCTGATTTGCGTAGGTCGCACTGTCAAACACAGGTAGAATTGCGCGCCAGGCATCGTCATCTGTTACCCAGCTTGTGTCCGCAATGAGCCTAGCAAAAATTGTTGACGGCACAGCTATAGCAACTACGGGGACACCGGCTTGCTCAGCACGTTGAATTTCGCCGTAGAGCTTCTCGGCTGTAGAAGGTCAATAATCAGAGTGGGGTAACAAGCACACATGACCTACCCTTGTCCCGGTAGATTTCCTTCGCTCTTCGTTTCTTCGATTGACCACCCTTGTCGCTCTTGCTCTGGTTCTTCTCGAATTTCTGATGTTGCTTCTCATCTTCTGGGACTACCATCTGCAGGTCCATTGCTGTTTTCTTGCCTTCTCGTCGTTCCACTGGGAGCTTAGCAGCGCTAGATGAACTGACTACCGCTTTTGCGGTGGCCGTGGACAAATCGATACGCTGCTGTTCTGCAAGCTGGTGCGATAAGTAGTTGACGAGTTCGGCGCGGGGTACTATTACAGATCAATAGGCTTGTTTCAAACATCCATCACGCGTTACCTTGAGCTTCCGTCTTCCTGAGAACACTCTTCACTCTGAGGACTTGCCCACTTGTTTGCGATCGAGTTAGTACCAGATAACTAGAAAAACTGTGAGCGAGGCAACAACGTAATAAATTACCTCATACAGAATTCCTTCTTTGAGGCATGTGGCCATGATATTTTCTAGCGTGTCTTCGACAGCACTTTCGTACATAACATCGGCCGAAATGCCTCCAACTGTTATCAGACACAAGTCCCATTTAATTGTAGATGAAGAACATACCATTACTCCACAATGAATTGACGATTTCGATTCTCTCTGAAAGTTTGCCAGCCTGGAACGAACACACGTATACGTCGGCACGCTGTCCAAATGGGCATGTCAGGGGTCTGAGGCAAAGTTTACACTAGAGAAAGTACACTGACCCTGGGTGCCCACAGCCCAAATGACCGCTCCTCGTCGTTCTTATTTGTTGTCAACTGTTTCACTGTTGATGTTTGGTACCGCAATAAACCTTGCATGATTCTCTCCGTCGCGATCTGAACGCCGACAACAAGAGGAGGCCCGCGTTCTGTAGGAGGTGCCACTTTACGAACAAGCGTATCATATCTAGAAAGGTGATAAGGTCACCTGCCAGACGACATGCTTCGATACGCACCTTCCACCGGTAGCTAGAATCGTCTTACGTTTGCCACGAGCGGCAAATTCAAAGACAACGCCATCTCGAAAGTAGTGACGATAAGTTGACAGAGCCGGAGAGAACACAAGCTTGCTCTGAACGCCGAGAAGTGAGCTGAAGCGCAAGACTTCCCTTAGTTCATTGAGAGGACTCTCCCTTGACCTGCGAGACGGCATTTCTAGGATCCGCGATATACGTCTGGGTAGTTGTCGAGAAGCATTCTCCAAATCCCCTTCGAATCGTACTATAATTTCTAGATCGTCCACGAGAGTACGGGATAGGCCTGCATCCAGAAGTTCAGTGCGATCGAAGTGAAAGCCAGGGCTTCCACAGTCTTTGAGAACCGTTTGTATCATGGTGTGCTGGTCTTGAGGAACATGCTCAAACAATGCCCCCAGAAGAGCACCATGACTGATATGGACTTCCCAGCTCTCTTCATTGAGTGCCGGCATTCCTCTGATGATGCTGTCCACCACCGCAATGGCTTCCGCTTCTGCAGCCTGATGCATGCCATGAGTATCAGAGAACATTTTATGCTTGGTGACCGTACCAGGTTAAATTCCATCGTTACAATGTCGAACATGGCGTGACTGACGATCCGTGGCTGCCCACCAGCAAGACCCTGCTCAAAGCTCTGTCCCAGAGCGTAGCGCTTAATCCGAGTGACATTGCGTCGAACGACCAGCCTTGCGAAAGGCAAAAATCCATTTGAAGGTAGTGCGACGAGATTCCCTTGACGATCCAGATATATCGCTGCTGTCCGCTCGTCCAGATCATTCGGACCCACCGGGAGCAAGAGTGGCGGTTCCATGTTGATGGCCCCATGACGTCGAAAGATGCCTTTCACATAATCTTCTACCACGGTCTGGAGGAAGGTGTAGCTGGGTTGCTCGGCACGATCATAGACGAAGGGTCTAATTTGATCTTGGGGTTGCGAAAACAGCTTCGTGAGGAGGGATTGATGGTGAGGTCCGCTCTTGTCAACTGTGTGCACGGCTCAGAATAGCCGTAGACAGACTAGATCATCATCGTACCTAGCAGTCGTAATGCGTCCTCGAGACGTCTGTTCTCCAGCCTTTCGGGGAGGAGACCGCTACTCAGAAGTTCGTTTGGCATAGGACGTTTCGCAGGATCGTGCTGAGTATGTCAGAGATTGGAAAATGACCAGTGCAAGCAGTACCTACATTAAGTAGCCATTCAACGATCTTCCTCTGGTTCGGTTTGCTACTCCACGTATTTGGGAATGCCAAGTACTCCCGCAGTGCCTGAATGACGGCATAACGCTCTTGTTCAGTATTGAACGCTCCTTGAACCATTTCGAAGAATACGACCTACAGAACGCGTCAGTCGTTGCATCTAGAAGGCTCTGTATTACTCGCCCCCAGAGAGAACATATCCGCTTTCGCAAGGTCTCTCGGTCCCGATCGAGGGTTGCTGATCTCTGGAGCAACGTACAGGCTGTCTTCAGGTCAGAAAACACAACAATAATCAGCGAGACGGCCTACTAGGTGCCCACTCCTGATGAAGTTTGCGAGGCAGACGCCTCTATTCTCCGAACCCCACTTGATTGGTCGATCACTGCCCCAGTGGATGTTGCCTGTGCGAGACCGAAGTCTCCCAGCTTCGCATCACCATGTTTGTCTAGAAATACTCAGAAGTGGAACAATATATAGATACTGGTCATACCAATGAGGATGTTCGTTAATTTGATATCTCGGTGCACCTAAAAACTCAGGATTCTAGATCAAGTCAGTGCTGATCGAATTTAACGTACTATACCCATAGAAAACATGTGGGCCATTGCGTCGAGAACTTGGCGAAACAGTTTCCAATACCGTTCCTCATCGAGGCCAGCTGCAATTGCCTACACAGGGTCCAGTCAAACCCAATCCTATGGGACCGCGCTCGAAGCTTTACCTCCTTCAGCGTTTGTTGCTCAACGAATTCCTGCCGATACATAGATCAGACCAGCTCAGAATGAAGCACACTGTGACTCTGACCATCTGAATGTATAATATGCGCTGTACGCTGGGCTTGGGGGATTTTGGTACCACTGCAGCGGATCGGCTGAGTTTGCGGCTATTTTCGATGGAAGTCTCCGAGTCTGAAGACCCGTCTGAGACAGAATCGCCGTCCTCTTCATCGTCCGCGTCCTTTGCGAAAACAACACTCGGAAACGATTGAGTCTTCGTGAGATCATGATCTGAGTCGAAATCACTGTCATCAACACGAAGCAAATCTTCATCGTCCGGGAGCACGGACATTCTTCTTTGCCGCATGGGCTTGTCGCTGCTTTGTGAGCTATCCGAATGCGCATCTTGGTCGGCCTTCTCGAGGGGCAAGTCTTCTAGCCAGCATGTAATATATCGAACAATATGACGATGATTGAGTTGTGAAAGGGCATTGACCTCTCTCAATATGCGACTTTCGCTGTCTGATGAGCGCAGTTTGATTCGCTTGATCTGCAATCCAATAGGTCAAACAGCGTCAAAGTTGCTCAAGAAGCTAGAACTTTACAGCGTAAATCATATGATCCAACCTCATTCGTACTTTGTCAACAGACCCAAATCCTCCACGACCCTACTCCCGACGTGAAAAGGGGTTTGGCGCAAAAACGAGATACAACTCACGAGATGTTCGAGATGTTCAAAGTCATCAGTAAAACGAGAGTGGGTGGGTCGCACATTTGCCGTGCGCCAGTTCGGCCCTAGGGATGAAAGGAAGTAGGATTTGTCGGGAGATGTTGCGGTTCGAGATTGCTCAATGATTGGGGTTACGATTTCCATCTTGAGTGGAATCAAAGGTGATGGTGGTACGAGCTTGCGTTTCTCCATTTTTTCCAAGAGTGCTTGACATTTCGGGCGTTGGGAAGGGTTCGGATGCAGAAGCAGTCTCAGAAGTTCTGCTAGGTCGGCTGGCAGGCCTTTCGCAGTTCCTGGGGAGGATTCAACAAAAATGATCAGATTACAGAACAATCTGACCTACCTGCTAAGAACACTGCGTCGAGGTTAGGGTATTGCTTGATAACGGCCAAACCCCACAACATTTCTGTCCAAATGACACCAATATTCCACAAGTCACGAGCGAATGTGTAATTAAGAGGTTTGTCAATTGACTCGGGAGGTGGCCTACGAAAAAAATGATTCAATACCGGCTCCGGCTGTAACTCTCGGACAACATACCACGCGGGTGGTCTTCGAGCGGTATCCAAGGCGTCATGTATTGGATTCGACTTATGTAGGTCAAGCAGACGCCTGTAGTAAAGAGCCCCTTGGACTTTGACAACGGTTGATTCCGAATCGGTGGACGATTTGGTGAGTAGTACCATATCTGCCCTTAAATCTTCCACCGCAGGCTTCAGTAACGGCTGCGGAAAACACTAGCAGAGAAGAAGGGCTAACCCTGATGTATTATCCTGTGGGAGTGAAGACATGACAGTGCAGACACCAGCTGACACAAGTAATTGATAGATGTGTCGATGCCGAGAGCAGGGCAGTAGTGCAGGACCTGATCAAGGGAGACTCCATCAGTCCGCTCACGGATGAGAGAGAGAGACCAGTGTCGAGTGGGCCCAGCCTGTCTTTCGGATAGTTTGACTCCAAACAACTGGATCAGGCCGAGGTGCGAGACATGTAGCAGGCGCTTAATGTCCTCTTCAAGATCCCGAAGTTTTCGAAGACCAGCGGTGGTATTATAGAACGAAGACTTGAAGGTAACGATGAAGCACTCCAGCAGAGGAAGCTTGGCAGGCTCGATAGCTGCAGGTTCAGCTGCCCATCTGACACCTAACCTGTCCGGTTTGGGGTCGCTGATGTGGAAGACGTCCACCCTGATGCCGTTGATGACCACACCGCGCTCAAAGAGCTCCTTGCGGCCACCAACTTCCCCAACCAGCTCCCTAAGCCCTGCAACTTGCGCCACCTGCTGACGCTCAGCCAAACGCTGCTTTTCCACCCTTTCTCTCGTCTTCCGATCCTCTTCGTCGATCTGCACCGCCAAAGCAGCTTTCCTATCTGCATCCGCCCGTTGTTTGCGTTCAACGGCCTCCTTCTCTTCTCTTTTCCGTTTCTGGATAGAGCCATAAGCTTATCAGCCACAATCAAAGGCCTAGCGGACGCACTTGTTCATCCTCGACAGCTCTCTCCTTCATCTCCGCGGCAAGCGATTGGTTTATGTTGGTCACGACCTTCTCATTCCTTGCATTGATTTTCTCTTCGCAAGATGCAACTAGCTCTGCAATCATAAAACCCCCTAACATCTTGTTCGCTTGTGCACGAAGGTCTGTAAGGATCGACTTGACGAGGACCGGGGTCAACCCTACTGAGTTCTTGATGTCCAGCATTGGAGGCACTTTGGGGTATCCTTTCGGAAGTCTGGAAAGACCTATTAGATCCCCCCTCCACACCATTCATTTGTACATACTTGACATATAGTCCGCATGACACCTTTTCTGGTCCATGCGGATGGACCTTGATTAGGAACTCCCTCAGGTCCGTTGGTTGCTTCTTGGCCTTTGCTTTCCAAACGGATGCCGTGTAGCTCTCATCAAGGTCATCTCCATACATGGAGCGTAGTACAAACAGCTCGGCCTCTTGTGGGTTTGTTGATTCATCATCCATGCAACTGATGGCTGCAAGGGGTGGACGGTAGGAAGGCAGTACCGACAGGGGATAGGGACCACAGCCTTGCAGCGTGTATGATACGCGCTATATGACGTGACATATGGGACAAAAATCCGACCAGTAGCGGAATCATTTGACATTCATCCGCAAATCATTCAACAATCATTTGACAATCATTTGTCACTTGAGAATCACTCCGGTCATTCCCCAATCACTTGACAATCACTCCGATCATGATAATCACTTGCAAGTCATTCACAGTCCCAAAATCACTCGATAATCATTCAATAATCACTCCTTCCTCCAGCATGCCCCATTCATTCACACCTACTGATGAATGATCCTCATTCACAGATCATTCATAAATCACTTGGCCATCACTTGGAAACATTTGATAAACATTCCCTTACCTTAGCCTCTCATATTGTATCCTTTCATCTCATGAGAATAGGAAACACCATATATCTCACAAAATCTGGTCACTCTATTTATTATGGGCAATCTCTGGTGTCAGCAGTCCTCCTCCCACACTTTGGGCCTGGCCCAGGGCATCATCAATCAACTTGATTATCTGCTGTTGCTGGCACTGTCCACAGTCCTGCAATCCACAGATCTTGCAAAACCCATGTCATTAAGCCTTGATCATGGCAACAACCATGCTTCTGTTTACTCAATGGAATCATAAACAGGAGCTCAATATCATCAGATGCAGTGGTGTGGAAAAAAAACCTGAGCCTCCTGCCCTCTCTCTTCACCTTCTTGCCTTTGTACAGTGTTGTCCTCTCCCCTCCTCCTTCCACAATAACCCTCAGGCAACATGACCACTTACTTTATAGAGAGACACTCTCAGATCCAATTCCTCATTGGTGTGCACAATCCCAATCCTGCTAAGGCATTACTGATCCACATAGGTGCCACCTATACCCACCTCTCCTTCCAGCCCCCAACCTTCTTGAATGGTGAGCCTGCTAGGCCTGATCATCCCATCCCCATCTCTCAACCCAAGGACTTTGTGGGGGTGGTCCCTGTGTGCACCAATCATTCCATCCCCACCTTCTACAACAGACCTCAGTCCCAGCCTGTCCCTGGTCACTATGTGCACTACAGGGATGCAGCCCACTCATTCCATCCCCACCTTCAGCACTAAGGGCTTCTCCATCACCTGCCACAAGTGCTTTGCCCTGATTCCTTTCACACAGCACTCTGGCCATGGCAAGCACTCCTCTGCTGTCTTGTCCCCATTGTGATGATTGCATGCATTTTCTCAGCCAAGTGAGTCATGCCCTCCTCTGCCCTTATCCACTTATCTCATAAACCAAAGGAGCTACCAGAGCCAACTATCCTTTGGCCCTCGACATGATGCTTCTGCAATTGTTCTCTGAACAAACACAATTGACCAGTGCCTCTTCAGCTCCACGCACCCCACACAGCATGGAATGCACCTTGTTCTTTTTGGTAAGTGAGCAACCAACACTACTGCCATCCTCTAAATCACCTCACAGGCGGCTCAAACCTGGATGCATACTATGCTTTGCTCAAATGAACTACCTGGAGGAGGTGTTTGTGCAATGTCATATTCACAGCACCTCCCCTGCCCTGATGAGATGGACCATCCTCTTACAATGAACAACAACCACTTCTGATGCCATTGATATAGGCCCTCTGGCACAGGTCTACCATCATGTGCTGGTGGTGAATCTATCCTCTTGACCTTCTCCTCAGAGGCCTGCTTTTGCACCTACTCAACTGATGGCTAGCACACCTGGAGTTGCTGTCCTGCATACTTCCTTCCATCTTCAATGAGCAACCACAGATGGAGACAATGTCAATCTCGATTGACTCAATGTGTCAGCTCATCATCCTCTGGCCACCAGCTCTTGCTCTTCCCATTGTCCACCTTGGGGATCATCTAATTGTGGTTGGAGCTCCCAACAAGGCAGAGCTGCAAGTACCAGTCAGCCAGCATGTGGTTTTTCCCATGTGTCCCCTCCGGCCTCCCTTCAGCCAGGTGCACAGCAGGTCAGCATTCAGCCAATGCCCAGACAAGCAGCCAGTTGTGGAGCCCAAGCAGCCGTACTATTCATTGCAATATTGCCCTGTCTGGTACATAACTCAACAATCATGTGTGTATATCCTCATCTCCACCTAGCTTGCCAGCATAGACAGAATCTTTCCTCTAGTCAACACATCCAGCCAACAACCCTACGCTGGGCTGAATTTGCAAGGTCTCAGTGCATTGGTTTCCCAGTTCTGACCATTAGGCCTCCTGCACAAAGTCAATCCATCAGCTCAACACTTTGCTGAGCTGGAGGTGAAGATTGTTGCTCATCTCTTTGATCATTGCCTCGCATTTCCTACCTGTCCAGCTATCAGTAGCAATCTGGAAGAAGTGGACCCTCACCAGATCCAACCCGTGCTTTTCAACTTTGTATGACCATCCCCCCAGCACAGTGATCCTCCTGGGGATTATCATGTCATCCACCTCAAGACAAACAGGCCAATCCTTGAGGAGTTAAAGAAAGTTTACCATCTGTCAAGACTTCCACCTACTCACAACATGCCAAAGGCATACATCATGCCCATTGGTCCATTCCTTCATTCTACCATTCACTTACAACTTACCAACATCTATGTAGTTCCACAATTTGGAGGAATCCCCAGCTACCTTCCACCTGAGCTCAAACAAGCACCTGGCCGACATTACTGTTTCATTCATATTGCTTTATACCACCTATTGCATGGGTTCCCAGACCAGCCCCATCTGGACAATACCTGTCTAGGCTCCCCTGCCTGCCTTGCCTCTGCTCCAGCTGTTCAGCAATGCTCGCCTTCGCTGCTGTCCAACCCTCATCCTGATAGCAGCTCAGGCCCTCCATCCCAACAGCTTGGCACTTCAAGTCCCCCTTTGGCCATCAATTGCGTAGAAGGGCTGAACATCGAGGGTGTCACTGTCATGCTCTGAAGATCCATCTCCCAAATCATTGAAGAAGGGTCTCCCCATCGCATTCAGCCAGCCATGAATGCCAATGCTGGTTTTGGCCATACCAGCATGGAGCATGACCAGGCTGTCCTCATGGTCACCTCTCGGGAAGTTTTGCCTTTGGATCAGACCCCACTAGTTCCCTCATCCTTCAACTGCACACCATCCTCATCTCAAGGCACTGGCTGAACCCCTCCCTCCCCACCATTTGAGGATGAGAGCAGGCAGCATGTTTGACCATGTGTGTCTTCCCCCATAGACCTGACTGGGGACTCTGACACTGAGCTTCCTTATGGCTGCTTCACTGTCAATCCCAATTCTGAAACTGATGATGATCAAGATGACGATGACAAAGAACTGGAATGGGATGATGGGTATGAAGATTTGCCTGGTACATTGTTGTCTGTCTCTCTAGCAAGTCCTCATACTGATACATGCTACAGTGTGGGAATTGCCAGAATGGTGGACCATGACATACACAGAGGTTGCTGCTGTATGGACCATCTGGGCACAGAAACAGATTTCGGATCTCCCTCAGATCCCAGCCCCTCTGATCATCAGCAAGACACACCCCTTGCACCCCAAAGCATACCTGGATCCAGCATTCGAATCCCTTGCCAAGGGTATGTGTTCCTATCTCTGGCAGCTCATTGGTGCATCCTTTCCATCCACAAAGTCTTCAATGCCTCTGGGTTTGAATGACACCAGTGCAAACCTTTGTGCCTACCTTCTCAGGCTCATGCCAATCCACCTCTGAGTGAAAGTGTAAGTATCATTTCCCCCTTGTCCTGGCATCATTAAACATGCATCAATAGGTTGAGTTCCTCACCTGCTCCTGACATTCAGGGTGATCCTCTCACTGTGGGAGACAGCCCTATGCAAGCTGTTGTCTTTATGACACTTAATCACTTCCTATCCCACAAGTTGTATGCATACAGCTGGAATCCCGACAGGTTTCTAGTTCTCAACATCAATGATGAGACAACCTATCATTATACTGAAAAACTCTTTTGGCGCTCCATAGGCACCCTGTCAATCCTATGGTTGCTCCATGGCAAGTCCCTGCCATGGAATATGTCACCCTTCCTCTTATATGTGTGCTGGGATGAAAACTACAATTTGGCAATGGAATGATGTGAAGACCTCTTGTTTGTCCGCAGGTTTGTGCTGAAAACAGCCAGTCTTCTACTCTTGTGGAAGTGGCTGGCATGCACTCATGTCTCAGACCAGACTCTTGCCCAGGCAGCCTGTCACAGGTGACCCAGGCACTCTATGCTTCAGATGCAACTGTATCTCAAGGCTTGTGATGTGGTAAGCACCTGTTCACTCAGTCCCACAGTCCCTAGTTGACCAAAAAGTGTAGGTCCTCCCCAAGGATCTCACACACTGGAAGATGATGCAGGAGGAGCATAGCTGTTTGGAAAGAAAGCCCTGCAACTTTCTTCTGTTTGGGCATCCCACCTTCTCCAAGGATATAACTCAAGTGCATGCTCTGAGTCTTGGTTTGCACTTCTTCCTCCATCTGAGAACCATATGTTTGTGCCAATCTGGTCAGACATATACTGATCTTCTACAGTATATCATTTGAAACACTTTCAAAGACTTCCAAACCTTCATCTCTCTCCTCTATCACAACAATAGCATCAACGCAGATGCACACATGTGGGATTGCATGTCATATAAGCCATTCGATGAGGGCATTGCCATGAATCCACAGGACTGGACCAATATCAAGTTTGCAATGTCCTGCTACATCAAAACACCAGGGCTGCTGATTATCACCAACTCCCCAGCATTGCATGTGCTCAGTGAGCAGCTGAATATGCTGAGGGAAGGTAGGTTGCCCAGCTTCCTGCCAACTGCCATCAACCTCCCTCAGGTTCACCACCTTCTCCTCAATGTCATGGTACTAGGGCAGCAGCTGCTGCCTGCCTCAGAATCCTTCAGAGTAAGCTTTGCCATACATGTCAACTTCATTGCTGATGATCTCATAGATTGAAGTCTACCCATACCTAGTCAATCTCCCTGGTGGACACAAGGTTCAAAGCATGGAGACACTTGTTGCAGCTAGAGTATGCTTTTGCATCCTTATCCTTGCCTATGGTGAGAGTCTCCCTGCTGCAGCCATAGCCCCTGACAATGGACAGGAGTTTGACCATATCATAATGAGCTTGATGCTGGCTAATTGTGCTGGATTCACCTCTCTATAACCAACAATTGCCCTTTCCCTTCCCCCTGTATACAATACTCTTAATTCTTCTCAAACCTTGTCCCATACTATAGTAATGATGATGCACAATCCCATCCCCATGTTCCACACCAGTCACTTGATGAACACAGTGCCTTCTGGGCCCAATCATCCCTTCCCAAAATTGAATGGCAATGTTATGCAGTTCTAGAGGCTTGGAGATGTATACACATAATGGTATTGTTGTGGAGAAATGGATGGCAATGATACAGTCTTGGTGGCCCAAGGCAGTAGTTAACTTACAAGGCTCTGCTTACATGTACATCTGGAAAAAGAACAGCCATTTCAGTCTCAATTGTCTTTGGCCTGGACAAGCAGGCTGTGTGCTTGATTAGTCCTGCTGGAGTCCCCTCTGTGATAATCCTCCTCTCTGCAGGGCTACATGCAAATGAGAACCCCAGCATGCCCACACATACCAGCCGCTTCTGTACTATATCATTGATGTTGTCTCCTTCATCCCAATGCCCACGCTGATTGAGGTACCATTCTCACTTACAATCCCACACCCTCTGGAATTTACCTTGTCTCACTTGGTTATTGTTGATTGATGGGCAAGATGCTAAGCCACCACAACTGTGAATTGAAAACCAGCTGACAAGATCATCGGATGAGATATGGCCATCCCATCCTATGGCATGGGGTACAATAAACATGTTGCTCTCCAGGATCCAAGGCATTGACAGAGCCATTGCAAGCTCCATGAACAGCTCCATCCAACAAATGAACCAGTACAGAGACTGAGTGTGCCCAACAGGATCATCTGCTGGGGTGGTTCCAGAGAGCAAGTTGTGTATCTCAGAGTGATGCTCATTGAGGTAACTTGCAATGTGGCCAAAATGTGGATTGAGCTCAGCCACATGGGTGTGCATGCCAATTGGCCTCCTTTGATGCTGTACAGGCCCCGAGTCATCCACATGATTGTCACCTTCATCCCCATCAGGCTGCTGTTCTTGTTTGTCTAGGTGGGCGACTGCTAGCATAAAATTGCAATAGGTGGCATTGTCATTGTTGTCAAATGCAGTAGGCTGCACTGTGGACTCTCCCACGACTGGTGCCTGAAGAACAGGGGGTTGACCTGACAGGAAAGCAGGCATGATGGCAAGGGCAGCTGCTGGCAACAAAGCAGAAATGACAAGGGGGGTAACCATGGGTTTGATGGCAGGGGGGTCAGGTGATGGACTCTGAAGAGGCGTAGAGGGCATTACATTGGGCAGTTCAGGAAGGAACGTCGAGAGAGACAATAAGTAGATAACATAAGTATCACCATTGACCCACTGTTGTCTAGTTTTGGGAGGAAGGTGGCTCTTGAACAAGGAAGTCTGCGGGGTATCCTGTCTCATTGGGTGCATGATGATAGGCAAATCGTTGCGAGTTGTGCAAGAGATGATTGGGCCCAGGATGCTGATGTACTGGTGTCCTTCTTGTCTCCCATAAGTGTCCTGGCCATATTGGTAGAATGATGGGATGACTGAGGTGGAGACTGAGTAGTCCCAGTATTTCTCACCCTGGAATTGAGAGAGGCCATGGCTGGGCGCACCAGCCGTCTGGCCAAAGATTGTATGGATGAGACCTGTTGCACTAGCTTCATCGGTTTGTTTGATCTTGATTTTGCCTCTTCCCCAGAGCTTGCCCACTGGCTGGGTGCCACTGAACAGCATGACAATGGTGGCAATCCTTTGCTCTGTTGGATGGATCAGCATATATGTTGTGGGTGTCATGGCGTATATATGCACTTTTCAGCCTGTTGCAATTGGTAGTGGCCTGCAGGGGTGGGGGCCCAACTAGGACACTGCTGGATGTAGGATCAGCCATGGGACTGTGGCTATCAGGAGACAAGCCATTGGGGTGAGCAGGGGGAGGGGTGGACATGTGCATTGTACCAATAAGAGGCTGTCCTCCTGGTTGACTGTGTAAAGTCACTGATCCTGCACCAGAGTGATGTTCTGTGGTGTCCATAAGCTGTTCATCTTCGTTGTGCATGCTGGAGGTTGAGCCAGGTGAGTTAGCACTCAGGATATGCAGATTGTGGGTGCCGGCCAAGCTCCCAAGCAAACTAATGAAAACATCAGCAATGGTCAGGCATATAAAGCATGCAAATCACATGCACCTGTTGATGGTGCTATAGCCCTGCACAGATACTGGGCTATGGTGGTCCTCTGATCCTGCCGCTTGACCTCTCTCTTTGTCTCCTGCCCTCTCCTCTTGAATGAGGAGTGGATCAGTACTATCTCCAACCTGATCCTCCATCTTGGTGTCAACTGACTTGAGACTCTGGGTTTCGATTGGCTCTTCGACAATGGTAGGGTGTAGATCTTGAGGTACTGGTGCGAGATCTTGGGCCTGGAGTGGAGATGCGGGTTGTGGCAGGACTTGCAGCTGCTGCTGCAAACAATGTGCACCTTTGTGCATTGCCTGCCTGGTAGGATAGCATCGATTAGGAATAGCAAGCATAGGAAGTGGAATGGAGGAACAAGGCTGTTGAGGGTGAGTGAATGGGGGAAGAAGTGCAACCAGCATACAATGACCATGCTGTGGCTTTGTTGCTGACTCAGTCTGTTGGACTGAGTCAAAGTATGGTGGGCTAACCTGCATCCCCAATTTGCTGGTTGCAAATGCTGCGCACCATTGATGGAAATATGACATAGGCATGTATGTATTATGGCCCTTAACCTCTATGACATGCTAGCCTGCTCTAATTGTGCCTTGCCTTAGACTGGATGTCCCTAATGTGAATGTTGCACAGATCTGCAATGCTCTTTGCCACCTCTCTGTCAGAGTGTGCCGATCTGCACACACATAGAAAGGGGCAAGACCTCGATTGAGGACTTGTATTTGATCCTTGTTCAGTGGGGAATTGATCTTGGGGGCAGTGACAAGAGAGAGTTGTGGTGGAACTTGATCCAAATGTGTCTGATGAGGAGCGAAGCCATTTGGGAGATGCTGGGGCTGTTCAGCAGCTTGGGGCTTGCTGCAGCATATGGGCCTTGGTTGGGGGCAGTATTTTGTAGGGTTGCTGCATCCTCAGACTCTGAACCATATGCTTGCAGATTTGCAAGATATGGTGGATCATTGGCTGGTTTGATAGGGATGCCTCTAGCCCTGTGTTGAATGCATCTGGTTAGAAACATGTCAACAGGTCTTCGATCACCATCTGCAAGAGACACAGTATGAAAATTCCACTCATTCTGAAACCCAATGGCATTGTTGTTCAGGTCTTGGAGGAATATATACTGCAGAAGCCAGATATGGTTGAGGTTTGACTGATTCAGATGGTGTTGTTCTTCAAGTGTGAAGAAGAACTCTTTCCACTTGTGTCCGAAAGAGTTGGTTATGTCCACCCAAAGGTGCTAGTATTGTGGACTGAGCACCCCCAGATGTATGACCCTCGATCAGGGCCATGGTTTGTGACCATCCACTCAGTGACTCTGATGTTCTCCCCTCCATGATCACCTCTAACTCTTGACAGCATTCCAAAGTCACAAACACCATCAAGAAATACAGACAAAACCATATCAGCATGGTTATTTGCACTAATGCAAATGGCCATAATGCACGTGAATAGCCATCAATGAAAGAATGTATGAAGAGTCCCCAGCAGACAAGCCCATGTTGGCTGTTGTGGTGCCAAAGAGAGTTTGGGCCAGGAACTCCATACTGTTGTCTTGGGATGTGCCATTGGTCAAAGCTTCTTCGGACAGGATCAATGTGTTGAAGAGATCCATACAGGTCCCTCAGGGGAACCCAGTACCCAAGAGATACTAAGTGGCCATCTAGAAGTCATGTGCCGTTATCTGGAAACTGGGCACGTCACAGTCAAACAAGATTGTCAAGGGCATCTTGAGTCAACTGTGAGTCTCATTTGGGGCATCCATGCCATTGCACATTGGAAGAGCCACCAGTATCTTGTACAAGTGAAGGGATTGGGAGTCCTGGGACTCGAAGATTTGCTTGTACAAGTCAGCAGCACACTGTTCTCACTGAACATGTGATTGAGTGTCCAATCACAGCATCCGACACAACTTGCGCAACCTGATGCAGATAATTGAGCTGAATGGTGAGATGAGGTTGACCCCTGCCTCTTGGGAGAACACCTTGTATAACCTGAGGATAGAGATGAGGTATATTATTCATGCTACAGGTGAGCACAGCATCCAGCTTGGCTAGCATGGTGTCGATATCACATTCAATGGAGGCAACATCTTCTTGCCGAAACATGCTAAATAACTGAGAAGGATTAGTAGGAACTAGATTGCTTGGAAAGATTAGCACAGCTTCACCAGCATGATTGCTTCCCTGTCAGGGCACCAGCTCATTGCTTGGTCAAGAGACATGACTAAGCCTTTATGACAT